CGCTTGGTAGTGTCGGTAATAATCACAGGCTCTTATGTCGCTCAGCCAATTCCAGGGCTACAGTATTAGTACTAGGACAATCCCTGAGTCCCCGGTAGTCTAGCAAGTCTAGGTATGGAGTCGATCGAGTCCGTCGCTGCCAAGTCCGCAATCCAGGAGTTGCAAAAGCGAATCTCACTCCGCGCGTGTGTCGAACAAGACCCAGGGACGAATGTGGGCGATAGATCTAGTGATCTAGTGACAGCTTTCGACGACTCGCGTTCTTTTAGTCGGCGATTACTAGCGTCGACGATTGGGGTGTGCTTGTCTGGTCCTCTCACTTGCTGTATGCAACTTGTAAGTTCTTATGAATCATGCAAAGCAAACAGGCCTGGAGCATTAGCCGCTCTCGCCAAAAAGGCAATTGGAAATCATGATGACCCGCGGGACGCAAAGTCCATTGATCTCGGCCGAGAAAGAGTAGGGATGGTGATCCCGGGACACCTTCTGACAACCCTCCCTTTCTCGTACTTGTACTTGCAATGACCCTTCGTGAGACAAACCCCTAGTCTGGTTGCTCTGTGCCAACAACCACCGACTAGGAGGATCGATCAGGAGGGCTATTACTACTGTAATAATCGAGCGATAGTCTTGAGCCGGCACGACGATTCTGCGCGAGCAAGGGTATGCCACCCACCATCCCGTCGAGCGAGCCAAGCCTTCATGTGCGAGAATGTCATCGTCGCCCGCAAGGCAGCAAGGTTAAATGAGGGGTACAGTAGCACCGAGAGACCAACAAGGCTGGCAACAATCTTCCGAGTAATATCCCCCAAGGTATCAAAACAGCGATTATTTCTCGCACAGGCCACTACGCTCATAATGCCCAGGATTATATACTGTGCATCCTCTCGGTAAGTGGGCGGGGAGTCGACTCCGGACACTGCTATCATCACCGAGGGGCGGCGCGTTCTTGATTCTGGAAGGGGGGGGGGGGGGGGGGGGGGAGACCTTGAGGTTGACAGCTCGTTTGTAAGAGTATCTCTGTAGTTTCTAGACATTATTATGCAGTGTAACTGCTTGCAAGGAAACCATTCACGCGCACTTCGAGGCGGGACAGATTGTACGCGCAGCAGTATACCTGGTGAAACTGTCTCCCTCTAAGCGTCTCATGCCATTAACTAGAGAGCAGAGTGCTACTTCTCGCCAAGTAATTCGAAGTCTTGCAGTCTCTATTTCTGCCCTTTCATCTCCAAGCAGCCTTGATAAAGCTGGGTTGCCAGCTATTGTCACGTCAAGTTGTCTGCAGCCGGCAACCGTAGCCGAGCAGAATGAGACACGACATCGCTATCATTCCTACTATTGGAAGAAAGATTCAACGCCCAAAAAGCACCCTGAGCCATCTAGATGCTATTCGTGATTCACAAATGATGGAGGATTGTTGGCTTCGGGGTTGAGGTGGACAGATGACAGCATGGGGTATCTGTGCTGTATTCTCAACGGACTGCGCCAGTAGATGCCTGGAAATACTACGACGTGCATGAGGCTTCTGAAGCTTCACTTCGCTTGCTACTGACATACCAATGCCGACGACTTCGAGATGAACTCCCGCAAAGACCTGCAACGGGTATGTGGCAGTGGAGTCCCACCGGGGACACGGCTTCGCACTCCGACAGCATCGTCAAGAAATGAGAAACTCGCGTATAGTATCCCGCGAAAGCCTACCAACCCCGGGTATTACTGGATGAATCCTTCAGAAGATCGCTCTTACAGCTGCCTTGTCGTTGCCTAACGAGGCCTCTTCCCACCGGAGGGCATGGGGCCTGGAAAGGCAAAATAAGGCAAAAGACCTGAAACCAGGGGCCCTTTGCCCAGTCCGTTTTGACAAGCACCGCTTTTCGCAGCCTTGATGTAAATCACCGGTCCCGTTCCCACAGTCTCGGCAACACTCCGAGCCCAAAGTCGACGAGGGAAGGGGAGGGGCAAGATAGGGCCGTTTAGCGAATCCTGCCAACTGGGTTCTTGGGACTGGCTTGTCAGCCTGAAGACAGCGCTTGGGGCGAATCGGTCTGGTGCAACTGGGAAGCTGTTGGTTCTGGTTGTAATCACCACAAGCCCGAACCCGGCAGGCATCCGTTGGATTTCTATGCCAACTTCCATTGTCACACGGCTTCCGCCCCCTTTTTTTTTCTGCGAAAACCGTCAGCAGACTTGAAATCGCCGATGCCATTGACCCATGTCTAGCCATGTCAGCAGGCAAGCCCGTACCTGTTACTCCATGTTGGGCGGCGGTTTCGCTCGGAGACGGTGAAACTGTTCCTAGATGAACATCGTCGCCTATCACAAATGATACGATGCTTCTCCCTTTTCCACAGCCGATGTACGGGATCCATGATTGGGCGGCAATAATGCCTTGCAAATGCCGGGAAACTCCCCGTTTGGGAGGGATGGACTGGAAACTGTAACTCGGCCACATGCACTCTCTCTTTTTATGACAACAAGGCTGAGATAACGGCGTACATACATGCCTACACAGGGGGAGGGGGGGTAGAGAAGAAGAGACATACTACTCCTGCGAGCAAAGTTGTCCACCCAACAAAGATATTGGAGTACCCACAGGCCGACGGAGAAGAAGGACCCGTGATGATATTACTTCGGCCACTCCCCTGGGGATTGGGTGAGCATGTAATCTGACCGATCGACTGGAGTGCATCTTGGCATCCCTGGAGCTGCGCCGCGCTTGATATCGGATAACTTCCAGTTGGCTGATTCCTGCATGGCGTTGTACAGTTGGTACAGGCGCTGGTCGCAGTACATGTGCATGCAGTCTAGTAAGGGAGTAGTAGTACTATGCACATTCTTGATCCTTCCACCAACGTAGCTAGGTAATACTGAGCGAGTGTCCATCTCGTGTCGAAGTGGCAATTCGTATCGGCGACCATTCTGACAGGACGCCGTCCACTCGACCTCTGGGGGCGACTAGGAACCCTCAAGCTTGATGAGATTACTTTTTGACATCTGACGGCGCCCAGGGGCATGACAGTCGTCACATGAGCCAGCATATATCTGGATCAAAGCAGAGCGGTGTCGATTCCCGTGCCGCTGCTTGGCTTCTCATGAGGAACAGCGGCGGGTGTGTGAGGAGCGTTGGGCCACCCCAGCTGTGGAGATACTTGTACAGAAATCGTGGTACTAGCTGTAGTTGCCTTGCATGATGTGGTTGGGCTTCGGGGAGCGAAGTCGAGAAAGTGTTAGGCTCGCCCGAAGTGACAATGACAACAAGGTCACGCCGTACGAAGCTGTGGCCGGAGTAATTTAAGGGTGGTTGTATACTTGTGTTCACATGAAGACGCCTCTCCCTTGGTGACAGCTGATAGCCGGAGTAGTTGCGATAGATACGGGGTGAGTGTGGTCCCGGTCCGGCGTATCCATCTGCAGAATCTTGTCAAGAGCCCAACTTGATCCGTTCAAAGAGACACAAGCAGGAAATGATGTCACCGCGATTGCTGAGCACTCGCAAATTGCTACCATACAGGTGTTAGCTGTATGTAAGTATGAATGATAGAGAGACGAAAACAAGATTTACATCTCGTATTAGAAACTCACAGGGGGAGGACCACTCAGGTATACGTTCGGTGTAGACACGTCAAGTCCACAACAGCAAAGTATACTGTGTAAGGTGGTTGAGATTACGGGACGCGAGAATGATTATCTGGTTCAGTTGTTCGAGGTGACATATCATGGATAGAGATACATACTAATCACAGGCCACTAGATTTGGATAAATTGCTAATAGCAGGTTGTGTATAGGAAATGATTTATCATTAAATTGCTCAGATTTCTCCTGTGTAAAATTACAGAAGAGTAAAACAAGTAAAGAGGCACAATACAGGATATTGAATCCTTAACGAAGTCGCGGTTGAGCGTACCGATCCCATGAGGATAGGCAGTAGAGTTAGGAATTTTGCAGGAGGTCTCTCTGCTAGACACTAGAACTTTGGGGTATCAGATGAATTCTCATCTGAATTGGAAATTATTTTTGTGCTGTGTGAAGAGTGTGAGACAGACCAGGGCTTTGCCTCGTTTACACCGCCATTGTTTGGGGTTGCTCCAGGAATGGACCTTTAGTGTGCAATGGCAACTGACAGTTTATGCCCTTGATTCTCCCTCATGACAGAGTATACAGAACAAACAAATTAGAGGAAGAGATACCGAGAGAGCAAAGAAGAACAGCAGGGGATCTACTTTGGAATGTTTGTAGACGCTCTCGACTATCACCTGATATACAGGAGGTGTGTTTGAAAACCGGCCCTGTTATATTGAGGAGTGTGCAATATACATGTACATAATATACTGATAAATGCACGCAAAAAAAGTCGACTCGAGAGCATCTCTTATCTATTATTGAACTCTGATTACAAGAGAGCAATTATCCTCTGTTGGGTGCCTCGGGTAAGGTCTGGTCTTTGGTTCGAACTGGTCTGATCATGGGCAAGTTAGAGACGCATGAGCATGAATCATGTTGGTGGTTTCTCATCTCCATCCGATAATCTACTAGTGGGCAATACGTCAATCAAGCATTCAGCTCAGCTCAACTCGAGTTGAACCTCAAGACGCTTCACAACCATTACCACTCATTGCTGGTATCTATATGCATGTAGGTATTATATAGATCCCAACGCGATCAGATATCAATCTCGACACATTAGTTCAACATCTGCCGCCGCAGCCGCTGCGATCCGAGCCTCGGAGAATCGGACCACTGTTCCGGCGCCGGTCTCCCGCAGCCCCTAACGCGCGACTTGCGCCTTGGCTTCCCAGCTGGGGCTAGCGGTGACTTGTCATCAAGGCTGAGGCGAGATTCTGTCGAACTGCCTGGCACCTGTCACAGGCTCGCCAAAATTCACCCAGACATACTGACTGCTTCACCACCAGCCATTTGTCGTCCGAGTCCTGCCCTGTCATGCGTGGTCAGGCGCTCCACCGATCCCCTTCCCGGCGAGTGCTCAAGCGTCGCCGTCACCATGGGCTCAGGCTCAGGCTCCGGCTCTCCCTCCGGCTCTCCCTCCGGCTCCCCCTCCGGCTCACCCCCGGGCTCGGCTCCGGCTCCGGCCCAGCCCGTCCAACCACCCACCAAGCCGTGCCACAACTGCCGCCGCCAGCGGCTCCGATGTGATCGCTCGTACCCACACTGCAACAAGTGTGCCGCTGCCGGCAAGGAGTGTCTCGGCTACGGCAAGCTTTTCCGCTGGACGGGCGCCATCGCCAGTCGTGGGAAGCTCGCCGGCAGGACCTCGAGCGCGCCGGTGGAGGCAGGGGCACTGCAAGAGGCCGACTCCCGGGCCGGATCCGGATCCGAGGGCAACGGGGTGCAAGACGCAGGAACCTCGCCCAACCTGACTTTCAGGAGGGCATCGTCGGCAGTCTCAGGGACGCCAGGATCGCCAGGATCGCCGACATGGCCACTATCTCCCCGGCGGCCTGCCACTGCCACTGCCTTGGCCTTGAACCGTACCTTTGCATCGACGTCGCCAACGGGAATCTTCTCCCATCCCGCGTCTCATATTGCCGGTCCGAGCATTGCTCGAACGCCGGTCGATCCCTTGTTTCAAGATCTCAGCCCTTCCCATCGCTTCTACCTCGACTACTGTGCGTATTGAAAAAATTCGAATGAGTCTGAATGAGTCGCAAATGGCCATTCGGCTTTCATGTCGTCGCTGGGCTAACGTCACCCCACGCCAGTCACAACTCGCGTATGCAAAGACCTCGTGTCCAACGATATGCTAGGATTCAATCCCTTCCGTAGCCTGATACCGCTTACTGGCGCTCACCCGCTGCTGCAGCACATCATCGTCGCAGCTTCGGCGGCTCACATGTCAAACCTCATCAGCATGGGCCTGCCCTTTCCAGATGATGGCGGATTCATCCCCGCGAACCGCCCTGCGGCTTCGGCCAAGGCACTCAATGATGCCTTGGTTGCCAAGCATACAGCGCTGAAGCTCATGTCTGCCGCTATTCAGAATCTTCATGCAGTCGATGGTGATGTCGTGCTAGCAGCGTCGCTCTTCTTCATCAACGTGGAGCTGATCGAGTCTGGGAAGCACGGCTGGAGGGCGCATCTCGAAGGGGCAGCCAAGATCATGTCCTCCTTGCAGCTTACCCAGGCCTGGGATAGCTCATTACGGGACTACCTGCTCTCAGATTGCTTCATGTGAGCCTCCTATCCACCCTTACCTTTCTCTTCTTCCCTCATTTTGCTTTTGACTGACCGTCCAAGTTACTTTATCCTCGCTTCTGCCTTCATGCCCGCCCGGTATGCGACGTCGCTCCAATTTGAGTCTTCCCAAATACCCTTTGTGCTCGGAAAGACCGTGGCGAATAGTTATTTGTGTTGCCCACCGGAGTTGATGGAAATATTACACGCTGCTTCCCAACTGTCGAGTGAATTGGTCCATGATCAGACGAGCGAAGAAATCACCGCGGCTGCAATCACACTCGTCAATCGTGCCCAAGCGTACGATATCTATTCATGGGCGCGCGACACTTCAGGAGTACTCGAACTGCCAAAAGATGTCATGAAAAGCCGGATGCACGCGGGAGCCAGCCACCGTTTGGCTGCGTGCATATATATATTGCAGGCAATCCCGTCTGCTGGAGAGAGGCTTGGTCCAGCATTTGCCGCCTTCTTGGCGGACGACTTGATGGCACATCTGAATATGATGCCCGTGGATGACCCCAACTTCAAGGCAACCACATGGCCAACATTCATTATAGGCGCCGAGACGAGGGAGCCGGAACGACAAAAGTTTGTCATGGAGAGACTACGGATCATGACCACCGTTTGTCCTTGGGGCTTCATCCATACCGCCATGGAAACGCTCCAGGTAATCTGGAACCTACCGGATGAGGAAAGGGGGTCCAAGACCTGGGTACAGATGCTCAAGGATCCGGAGATGAATTTCTTGATCGTCTAATCGCCTGACATGCCGACCCGTCATCTCGCATGGACCATAGCACGGTCGAAACGGGGGTCAAGGGACCAGATGAAGCCTCTTACACAGCCTTGATGTGCTTTCGATACCCTCCGGGACAGCTCTTTTGTCGATTGAGCCTCGATCTGTCAGTTATAATGCTGAAACCGGGCTACAAGTCGGCGACGGACGGGTCCGGGGATTTCCAGCTGGGCCTTGCCGGATAACTTATTGTCAAGGCTGGCATATAGCAGTACTTTTCGCTGTCCTAGCATCAGCATGCCAAAAGCCTGCGAACTCAGGATAGGCGTCTTCATGATAGACATCCTGTACTGATTACAATTGCCTACGATGAACTTGGCGTGGCCGGATCTGTTATGTTACTGCCATGATCGTCATTATGGCGATGCCTCGACCGCTTCAGTCTTCCAGATGACGCAATTGAAGATGAATCTGGTCAAGAAGCCTATTGGGCACTGCTTCAACATGTGCTTCAACATGTGCTTAAACAACCATTCACCACCACTACTCAACTGATAGCTGCCCTCGACACAATCGTCAACACGCTCCACAGTTCTTCCGGGACGGCGAGCCACTGCGAAACACTCAGAGAAGCCGTAGAGCATCACAAGGACACAATCGCCGACACGCTCCGCAGTTCTTCCGGGACGGCGATAATCACCTCCGCACGCCTTTGGCACTTACGATGGCTCCGAGCAACGGCATACTCAGGCTCTTCGCATGCATCTTGCAGCACTGTTCTTATATTTCGATGAACTCAGTGCGAAATTTGACTTGGAATATACTGGTCGTTCAGTGAACTTCTATGATATAGGGATCTCTAGCCCTGAATGGAGTTCGTCCCATGCTTAGGATTCTAGGTCAGCGCCGTGAACTCTCGTGGGAAAAGCTGACGCCGGAAAACAGACGCGGAGGGACGATGCTGCTCATGGCACTCCCTGGACTTGACGAGACGCAAGGGTCCCGCGCCACTGCTTCCCGATCTGAAGCCCGAAACTATGCAGCGAGAGATGCTGCGAAAAGACATGCATGGTGTGTTTCTTCTTTTGAAGGCGGCGGCGAGGCACCGGCTGTGTGGACGGGGCCTGGGGGCTGCGGCGCATCTCAACGGGGATCCTGGTGTCAAGGTGCTTCTCTGCTGTGGATGGCGGCTTCATTGGCCGGCAACAAGGAGCGGTATCTTCTCTGCGACGATACGCAACGGTATTGGGCGGACAAGTGTGAATGCTTTGTGGAGAGGGTTCATTCGGGAGGTTGGACGAGAGGGAGCTTGAGGGGTGGCGGGAAGCGATGGTTTGGTTGCTTGAGGATGTGCGTTCCTGATACGGAAGGGAGGATATTCCCATCACTGCTTCATCGTTTCATATAGTAGACATTCATGATACTGTAGATCTAAATGCAAGGAGAACGATGGAAAATGCAATCTTTCTCTAATACCATTTTTTCCCTTACAATTTCTGAGCTATCTCGAGGTGAATCTGCTTGTACAGCTCATCAAAACACACTTCACCAACATTGTCGCACGTGAATTGCTGACGCGCAACTAAAAGCCTCGGTAAGAAGTCGAGAAATAACAATCTTTCTCGTCCTCTCCATCGTATCGTAGCCTCACACTGCGTAAACGAGATGCGTCACTGTGCAAGCAGTTAATTGGATAGGCTGATGCAATGATGCCTCAGCGTGAAACAAGGGGAGAAACAGTCTCTTGACGGCATTGAAACCTGGAACCCGCCGCCAAGATATCCATCAATAGTACTCCATACCAAGCGGCTTCAATATGCGTGAGATTAAACATCTCAGTAACGCGAGTTCAAGCTTATAGTCACATGCAGTGACGCCACCGTCGCACAAGCGCGCTGTGAGGCAATCGATTGATGCAACACAATGGCAGTCACTTGACTGGATGATGCTTCAGAAGGAGCCTGTACTAGCATTACTGTCATTGGCTGGACTTTCAAAGGACTTCCCGGGAGGGTGTCTTGAGCCGAAGGGTAACAAGCTCTCTGAAATTGAGAGGCCGAAGAAGTTCCTTTCAGAGAGGGTGTGCGGCCTTGTTCTAGAATGGCACGGCGCAATTAGGCGGTTCGTGAATAGAAGCCCGTTCGCAACGACGGAGGATCAGCCAAAAGAAGCGAGCTGGTAGTGGCACAATGATGTGCAGCTTTCGCAAATTGTTCGACTTGAGTGGCCCTCAAAGGAAGATCCTTTGACTTTGCCGAGCCAGTGGCATCAAGTTGAGCTAAAGGCGGAGGGAAGCTGTCATGAGGCTTGCCCGTGGTTACATGGGGCTACCAAAGGCATCAAGCTTCTGCACGCTGCTGCAAGCCGCGCAGCCGGCCGGAGGGTGATTTGCATAAGGGCCGCTGCAGGCGATCCCGCGTGCGCATCTGATGCAAGGCGGGCCGGCGCCCGATATGGCGGAGGCTGGATGCGGTGCGACTTGGTCAACGACGAGGAGCAACGGCTCTTGCGACTCGGGAACTGCGTCGGTAGTAGGGTCAGTGAGGCCCGACATGTAATGACAAGAGATAGGCATGTATTCGTAGGGCAAACGGCACGCGAGTCTGCCTTTACCAGAGAGACGGGACACTCGCTCCACAAGCAGGGCGGGGATGCGCAACCACGACAATGGTCCTGAGCCAGACAAGCACGCACTCATACTAAGGCATGTCATATATGACGATCGCGCATTCACCAAGATGGCACAACAACAGGGAGGGGCTCCTGGGTAGGGCAGAGGGTAGCCTCGGGCCAAAGGGGAACGGGAGAAGCGCATCTCTGGACGGGCTCTCGCATGTGCCTGTGCATATCCGTCGCATCCAAGATTCTGGCGGATGGGGTCAAGTCAGAGGAGAGGCAGCAGCCCGCGAGGCGACGTAAGGAACCGGGGCTGCTAAGGTACGGATAGTGTAGAGAGTATCAGGTACCGAGGCATAATGCTGTGGTATTGTGGCCCGCATGGCGCCACTTGGTGTTGCAGGGCGGGCGAGACGTATCGGCGAAGCGAGAGGAAAAGGATGTTGAAGCGCCCAAGATGCTGGACATGGAGGTGAGGGGCGGGTTGGCGCTTGTGGCCGTGACGGACGAACTGGTGGGCGGTGATGGCGATGGTGGTTGGGCCAAGCTGCTGCGACGGACGAGGGAGGCATGAATGGCCGTCCCAGGATTGTATCTGGTGGTGTTGTCCAGGGAGAGGACAATGCGAAGTAGACGATGTCGTTGGATGAGAATGATGGTTGTGATGATGATGATAATGGCGATGCTGGTGAAGATGATGGACAGATGAGAGAATGGCGGAGAAGGAAAATACCTAGGCAAGGGAGATGAAGAGGTGAAGAAGGGAGAGCTGGCGAGGTGGAAAGGACTGAAGGTACCTTGCTTCATGTACATGTAGGTATCTTGCAGGCAATTGATTGCGATGGTGCCGCTGCGGCAGGAGCCTCTTGGAACAGTCTTTCCCAGGCCAGGTGGAGGGGCCTGTCCCAAGGGCAGGAGCGTGAAAAGCAACGCCCCTCGTGATCGCCTCTCTTTTTTTCCCTTTTCCCTCCTCTCGCCCTCGCTTCTCCTCCTTGGCTCACCATCCGTAATTAATCTCCCCTTCTCCAGCTAACGTTTGGCGCTGACCGTCACACACCATCTTCTGGCCGTCCGGCCGTTTGGCTTCGTCCCGGCGCCCCCTTCTGTCTCAGAGCCAGCTTCCTATCCGGTCGACGATGGTCCGTATACCATGGTCTGGTTCCGGCCGGTTCCGTCTGTTATCCTCCAACATGAGAGAGAAAGAGAGAGAGGGTGGGCGGCGGTCTTCGTTGCCGTGTCTTGTCAGTGACGACGAGCAGCAGTTGCCGCATCTTGCAGGCTGATCTGATGCGACGCCGAGGCCACCAAGTCGACCGTGACCCCGAGCATGTCTCCAGCTTGCTCTGTTACTTCGTACCTACCTGGTACTTGTAACATGGCCGCTCTGCTCCGTCTTCGTAGGTACCAGCAAGCCCCTCGAAGCAAAGCATCTTGCAATCTCGGTGACGGTCCAGCAGAAAAGACCCCGCGAGCCATGGATTCAGCCTTTTCGACTCTTGCCGGGCAGCTCGCCCACCCTCCCTCAGCCAGCCAGCCTCTTATCGACGAGCAGGAAAACCGACAGCGCCAGACAGGTAGATTGCCATCTCGATGGGCGGAGCGCAAAACAGCCCCCAAAGACCTACCTATTACCCGGCGTGCAGCGGTTACCCCTGCAGTCATTGCATGCTGGTAGCCGTCAAGATCAAACGGCCTGGGGCTAGCTATTCGACAATGCTTCTAGTGCCATGTGATTGGCAGCCGTCCACAGCCCTTTGAACTCTGATACCTAGCCGCATAGAATATGCGAAAAATAGCTCCTGGCGGCGGGAGTGTAAACAAGCGCGGAGGAGGTTGACCCTTTGCGGCTGGCATCGCACTCAAGCTGTTCCGAAGTCGTGGTTCGGTCACTTCTGGTTGCTGCTTGACAGACAGACAGACAGACTCGGAGGGCATTCAGACACCTTTTGGCTACCTAGTGGAACGTGGGGTCGACTGCAGGTCCATCCATGCCTCAGACTCGCCTCTGGACACTAATACTTGGCCGCCCGCACCGCTGGAACCGGGCTGCCTTCAAACAGGCCATGCAAGGCCGTGTCCCGTCACTGGCGCCGGGCCATTCACCTCCTCGACCAGCCGTTTGAGCCTCCGTTTGGGCTCTCGCTTTGAGCTGCGGCTTCGTTTTCCTCTCCCCATCGACAGCAGAATCACACGCCTCCTTCACCATTGCCGGAGCACGGGCTGCGTCACTGCTGCGGCTCCTACGGTGAACGTCCGCCAGCCGCCGGCCAGAAGCAACGACCGCCTTTAAAAACCCCCCCACGATCCTGATTCTCCAATCACAAGCTCCCTGCCTGCTCAGAGATCCTTGGATAAGGTCTGCGCCAAAACCTGGCCACTCCGGGGGTTCAGTCTCAAACCACTCGCGCGCCGCCGGCTCTTGATCCAATCTGCGGTGTCATGCAAATCGCTGCCGTCATCATCCCGAGACCATGACCCTCGGTGCATCGAAACTGCCGGACAAGACGCCATCGTCACTCGAGCATTCATGCGCAGTCCTCATCTCGCTCTCCGTCGCAGCCCTCATCGTCCTACGGCATCATCGATCCGACTTGCTGTGTCGTCCACACCCACCGCCGTTACCATCGTTGTCCCATCCACCAGCCCCGACTTCGATTCTATAGCCATTCATTCGCCTTGCTGCCGCTGCTAGCCTCGTCACCGCGCCGCGGGTGGCTCTCCCTGTCCAGGAGGCGCCGTAGCGCCTTGCACGACAGCCAGCCATGGCCACCACAAACGCCGTGCCAGACACGCAACTGGGGCTCAGTGCCGAGGAGCTCCAGCTGCTCCGGCAAGGCCAGGCGGCTCTGGGAGGCGGCGGGGGCTCGGCAAGCTCTCGGGCAGCCAGCAGAGCCAGCAGCCAAGGCCTCCTGATGCTGGACAGCACGTCGCTCTCGGCTCTGGGGCGATACTTTGATCGATTGATGGCCGGCATCGAACAAAACATTCGCTATCTCAGCGAACAAGCCCAGATGTTCACTCAGGTCCAGTACGACCGAGCCGGCAACATCATTGACGGCGCCGATGCCGAAATCGCACGCTATACGGATATCCTGCGACAGCTCGATGAACTCGAGGTCGATTTCGACAGGATAGCCCACATCAAGGAAATCGTCAAGGGATACAGATCAAGGGTTGAAACACTGGAAAGAGACTTGGAGAGCAGCGGTGGCTCGTCAAGTCGACACAAACATTCACCGTCACATCACCACAAGCACTCCCACAAGCACAGCTCCTCTCGCCACAAATGATGGAGGGTGCCAATTGCACCATTTTTTCTTTTTTTTGCTTTTCTGTTTCTCTTCCTCAGTCGGGCTGTCCAGAGCGACCTACAGCCGATAGCTTTGACGGCCAAAACTTCGGACTCTGGGACTCATTGTATGAGACGATGAGGCACTGTGGGCTTGCCATGAGAGAGATCCCCGAACCCTGGAAGCCATCTGGCAAGTTTCCAGCGGACAATATTGGACATTTCACCAGGGAACAAGAAAAAAAAAAAGTTTTGCTTCAGTTGCCCTAGCAGGCCAAATTGGGGCAAATTGTGTATCGTTCTCGAGATTGCGGGATTACGGCAACGGAAGTTCTTTACAGATGGGTGAGGCCTCGCGGCTGGGCAAGAAGGGAAAAGCCTCACGGCTCGTCATTCAGTCTTTGATTCGGGTACTGTTGGTTTGGCGTTCAAGTTGCGGATTGCATTGATTTCGGATGGTTTGCTGTTCTTTTGTTCATGTTTCTTCTCCTTACCCTTTGGCCATATCCTTTGCTACATTACAGACGCTATCAATTCTTCTTGCCATGCGGGTCTACTCCCCATACTATGGAATGGAGGGATTGGGGGTGCCGCATGCATGTATATGTATGTTGGGATTGGCTTGGTTCACCAAGGCAAGCGAAGAAGACACACGGATATTGTTTATCAAGCGATACCGGAGATACGGCGTTTGCGGTTTTTTTCCTGCTATTCTTTTCTTCTTCTTATACCCTTGGGCAGGATGAGTCGGGGAGTGATTTTGGTCTCCCGTCAGGCGTCGACAGAAAGAGAGGCACAATCTCGCCTTGATTAGGCAGCGAGCAGCCTAAACGGATGGTGTTTCGACTCTTAGCTACCGGGACGCAATGCATCGATCCCCTCCCGCGGGATGGGGGATGGACCGCTGCTCACTCGGACGAGCGAGGGCGGTATGCGGGATGCATCGAGATGCGTTGCTAGTCATTGCTAAGTCTTCTAGAGTAGTGAACACGTAATGTTGAGCTGGCGCAGCTACAAAAGGCGCCGGCATAATCAGTTCCTCGTCCGTCTCCCACTTGCCCCTCTGGTGGTCGAGTGTCAATTTCGGTGTAGACCGGGATGGTGGTTGGCTGTGGAGTGTCAGTCACCGCATCGATGGCTGCATGATGCAGTTGTATCGATCCAATGGATGAAAAGCGTGAGGAGTAATAAAAGGAGAAGCAGAAGAAGAAGAGGGAGAAAAAAGAAAAAAGGAGAGGCGAGAGCGATTTCATCATTACCGCGTCGGGACTGAGCCGGGACAAAATGGGAGAGTTTTGTCTGCCATGGTGGTGATTGGGCTGCTGGAGGGGAAGCGCATATCAGAGCTGCCCGTTTCCCTCCCCCCCCCCCTCTTGTGTCTCAAATTATGATATAACAGTGCATCATGGGGGGATGGAAAAAGTTGAGGTCATGACTTGGCTCTGACCATGATCTGAGACTGGTGAAAGAAATGAAAAAAATATTACAGTTTCGGTGTCTCAAGTTTGGGGGATACCTACTATGGAGAGAGGAGGAAAAGGGGGGGGAGGAGGGGGGGAGGGGGGGATTAGTATGTCGTTTTGGTGGCTGTTTCTCTGAAGCAAGTCATCCTGGCCTGATGGATTGATTGATTAATTGGTTACGTCAATGGTTTGTCTCTTTGGGTCATTACGGTGCATTTAGGGAGGTAGGTATGTGCATGCGTGTGGGATACGGAGCTTATATACCTAGCCCTGACTTGGCTGATGGTGCATGATTGAATGACTGAGTCCGTCTTTACCCACGCCGAGCTGGGAGACTAAAGGTATGGAACGTGAGATGTGGCAAGGGCATGTGGGATATTCTTCAAGGTGTGTCTTCATCCCACAACGCCTTTATGGATTCCACTACATCTGTTACCAGTAATCGGCATCAAAGGAACATATTGTCCAATGACTCGAAAGTCATCAGGATCACCGCTTCTATATCCCTCTGCAAAACAATGCCGTCCTCAGCTTTTCCCATTATCCAAGCATATACCCAAATACATTACAGCACGGTATGCTTCTTTCCGGCAAGCAAGGGTACAGATTTAAAGCAGACTCAACATGCACCAACCACCAGACAGCTCGTTGAAGACAACGTCCTGTTGTTTCATGCTTCTTTCAGATAAATTCTGCATCATCATCATCATCATTTCTCTCCTAAACGCCTAAAAAACCAGGCCAAGCCAAAAGACACGGCATAACGGCCAAGACCAACAGAAACAGCAAAGAAGTGACAACCAGCCCCTCAAAACAGAAACCAGCCGGCTATATAACAAAAGCCCTTAACCCCCCCTTGCGCGCCTCATTTCTTCATAACAGACACTGACAAAACAGTGATCCAAAAAAAAAAAAAAAAAAAAAAAAAAAAAAACACACACACACACACACACACACAAAGTACATGACAAGAAGAATGGGAAACACAAAGTGAAAAAGAAGGGGGGGATGTGGAAGGGAAAAAGAAAAAAAAACTCCAATGGCGTGAAAAAATGCGATTGTGCCAGCTTCTGAATGACTTCCGCGTCTATGTGCATGTGCTTCTTCTGTGCACTTCTCCTTCTCCACTGGACCAACATACGGCAGAGGCATTTCATGGCAACTTGCGTCGTCCACGCATTCCATGCTTTGTCGTCGTCCCACAACTCCGGTGAGTGAATGCCAAAAGTACCCGCGGGTTCCATATAAGTAACAGAAGAGAAAAGGGGGAAAGAAGAGAATGATTAGAAAAAAATTGAAACACAGGAATTACAAGTCCATGTGTTTGATGCTATTTTTGTCATGCTGTGAATGATTCAATGCGTAAAAGGGGGGAAATAACGCGAGTTGCCAACGCGGATAGTGGCTGCCAAGTTATGCATGACAAAAGCAAGCAATGCATAGCCACATCGAAATGGCAAGAGACATAATGGTATCCATATGTATGTTGCTGACTCTCTTTTTTTCCCTCTGGTGATGTCGATGAGACATGTCCGTCTTGTTGACAGCCACGCGTGGGATAAAGTTGCACGACAGCAGCCCATCCAGGAGATAGGGGGTGAGCCACACTTGCAAAGTCGCCAAGGCAGCTCAACACAAGGCTATTTGCCCCTAATTTCGTCCGAACAAGCCCATCACATCAAGGACTCCTAGACCCTCGCAATGCGGCGCCGGTCCAAAAAGGGACTCGGCATCTCGTCCGTCTCCGGGTCCCACACGGCCACCGGCCCGTATCCGGTGCTGGCCACGCGCTCCCGATATGCTGCGATCCCGGACCTCTTAGGGCTCACGTTCTCGCCCAGCGGCACGCTCGGGACGCTCATCGGTCGACCTCCCGCGCGGGCCTGCGATAGCTCGATGAGCGTGCGGCCCTTAACGTTGCTCTTAGCTATCCTGCCCGCCGACTCGGCTGTCTCCTTCCTAGCAGACAGCCTGCGCGCCAGGCCGGAGGACGACGATGACGACGATGAGATGGGTGAGGGGGTGTTGGCCTCGCTGGCATTGGTCGGCTGCGTCATGTTGGCGACGGAGGGAATCTTAGTCAACCTGCCAATCGGAGACCGCTTCGGGCGACCTGCCTGGTTATTCGGAGGAATGGCAGCCTTGGACACGAAGCCGCTGGAGGTGGTCGCGGTAGTTCTAATACGAGCGGTAGCACTCGACGACTTCTGTGAGAGGAACGGCCGGTTCTTGCTGGTAAAGGGATTCTTAATCGATGACCTGTGCTGCGTCGGCGAGGGAGGGCTGGCATCTTCGCCGTCCGAGTCCTGGGCGGCGCCGTCTCTCGCCCAATCGTCCGGGTTGCCAGCCGCCTTGGCTCCCGGATTCGCAGCGAAGATGTTACCCTGGTGCGTCAGGAGCTTCTTGTGGCGGCGCGGCGACAGCGACAGCGACGCGATGGCCATGGGACTGGGCGACTGCATCTCGATGTCCATCGGAGTGCCCATCTGGCCGACATACATGGTCTGCGCCCGCTGAAAGGGCGTCCGCGCAGCTCGCTTCAAATCCTTGTTGAGGTCCGGGCTCTCGGCCGAGTACGACAGCTCCGTGATGTCCGTCGTGGAAGGGAACTCGTCGCCGCTCCCATCCGCGGACGAGTTGTGTGCCCGATCCGACTTTGCCATGGGCGAGTCAATCCGCACGTCTTCCACCGGAGGCGGAGGAGGCGTTCTCTTACGGCGGCTCTCCAGCTCCTTCTCCACGCGATTCCTGACCTCTTCTTCAAACTGCTTCTTGAGCCTCTCCACCTCGGCGCTCACCTGGCGGTCAATCTCCAGCCGGGCCTTGACCTCCCACTCCCTTCGAACCGACGCATCCAGCTCCTGGCGCATCAAATGCTTGTCCTTGTCCAGATTCACCAGCCGCAGGTTCAGGTCCGCCTCCTTTTCGCGAAGAATCTCCTCACGCGCCTTGAGCGCCCTGTTGAGGTCGACCACCTCCTTTTCCTTTCTCACGAGCTTCACAACCGGCAGCTGAAGCAGCTGTGCAGTATCCGGTCTTCTATCGGGATTGACCTTGAGACAATCCTTGATGACCTGGTTGAGCTCGGCAGAGTACATGTCGGGCAGGGGGGGCACTCGGCCCTCTTTAATCTTCTGCACGAGTTGGTAGTGCGACTTTGCGTTGAAAGGGGGCTCGCGAGCGCAGAGCTCGTAGATGATGCATCCCAATGACCAAATGTCGGACTTGAGCGTGTATTTCTCGGCCGCGCAGATCTCGGGCGACATGTAGAACGGGGTTCCGACGTATGTGGAGGCAAAATCGTGGGACTTGATCATCTTGGACAGGCCAAAGTCGCCCAGTTTGACCGAGTTGTCTTCGCCGAGGAATACTATGTTGTAGAAACATCATGTTAGAAGGCTTTGATGGCCACGAGGAAACCCCTCCCCCCAACGCTGCCTGAACATGCGCGCGTGTCAGGATGCTCACCGTTTTCGGGCTTCAAATCTCGATGCAGAATCGTCACCGCTCCAGCCGGAGTCTTGGGCGCCGCTCCGCCCGCCGTGCCCAAGACATTGCCGCCAACATCTGGAGGGTCTACTCCGTAATGGCAGCGATACAGGGCCAGGACCAGCTGGCTAAAGATGCTCCAGACGAAGCTCTCCTGCGCCCTCTGGCCCTTTGTCTGCAGCTCCTTGATCACGCGGCCCAAGTCGCCGTTGCCGCAGTATTCCATGTACAGGTGAAGGTCCTGGCTCGCCTTGAGGTGCTCGCGGTGGTAGTAGGCGACGATGTTGGGGTGCCGGAGGTGCGAGAGGATCTGGAACTCGGAGTGCAGCTGCTCGCGTTCTTTCTGCGTCATTCGGAGGTAGGAGATTTCTTTGCGGCACATGATGAAGCCGTCTGCCTTGCGGCGGACCTTGCGGATGATGCCAAAGGAGCCATGGCCTAAGGAGAAAATGGCGCAAAGCCAGCGTTAGCAGGACCCTTTCCGCAAGTCATGTGCTTTTTCGATCTCGTCGTCGTCGGTTCCCCGTTTGAGGTCATTCAATGGTGGTGGCTGGAGGATGTCGCTTCGGCGCTCGCACTCACCAATCTTCTCCAGCGTCTCGTATTTGTCCTCGGACGACATGTTGCGTCGTTATAACGGTGCTGCCAACAGTGCTTGTCCGCTGCCGAGCCCCATAAAGCAAATGATTCTGACGAGAAGAGCGATCCAAAAGTTATGCGGAGGTGAGTCGGGAGAAGAGAGAGGGGGGGGAGAGGAGGGGAGGAGAAGATGGGGAGGTAGGCGAGAGCGTGTAAGATCAAAGTCCTCCCCAAAAACTGCTGTTTTGCTGCGTAGGTAGGTCTCGTCTGACGTAGTAGTTCCAAAGCCTAGAAAGAAAGAAAGAAAGAAAAGGGCTAAAAAAAAAAAGGGAAAAGAGGAAAACGCTAGGAGAAAGTTTGTTCTGGCGATGCTGGCAATCAAAGGGGACAAAGAAGTGCACAATAATAGAAGCGGCTGGAATCGTCGGGTGCAGCGAGTCGTCGAAGAGGCTTGTTGTAAAAAATAACGTCGGCAAGGTTTAAGTGCAAGACAGCACGCGCACGGCAACGAAAGCAGGCGGCTTCTCACCACCTAAATGGACGGGGCAGGTCCCCTGTATCTATCTAGGTATTAGTTTAGCCCAGGCAGAATGACGGAAAACAGCTCCGAACCTGATCAAGGCCCTGTGTTTCCAACCCTCTTTTGCTTTGCAATAGTTTGCTTCTTCTGTGCTCCCCCTCTCTCTGTCTCTGCGTTGATTCTTTTGCTTTTCCTTTTGCTTTGGCAGCAGAGACAAATGGAACTGACTGATAGAGAGAGACAACAGCAGCCAAAAGGGATTCGAGACTGGATCCTTTGCGCCGCCAATTCGCTGGCCGCTAAAAAGCACCGTGATTCTCCGGCAAGCTGGACGTAAACAGTTGGTGTTGCTATAGCAACAATCAGATTTGCCGGGGTATACCCGCTTATCGATGGTGGAAAGCGACGATGACTTGCACGACTTAGTGGGGACCAAGAAATGCGTGGCATCCTGTGAGGCGTCTGTTTGCGTGTGGCGTCTGCGTGTGGCGTCTGCGCGTGGCAATGATGCAGTCGATTTGTGCTGCCGCGGCTTCTCGGCTTTAGGGTAGCAGATGAGCTGTCGAGACGGCAAAGACCAGCACAACCAAGCACAGAGATCTGATAAGATACGAATAGTCAAGAATCACAAGCATCGCATTTTTTCGACAGGCTGGTGATACAGGTACAAGAAGGCCGAGTAACAGCCTTACCGGCTCGGTTCCGCAATGGCAAGTTCCGGTGACGTGCAGACGATGATGAGCGGCAAAGTCGATTATCTCCGTGAGAATGAGGCGGGTTTACATAAGCCTGGACGACTTATCGCCATCTCTCATTTCTGTCTCGTCCCAACTTGTATGTAATATTGTAAACCTCTCATAGCAAAAGTCGATCTGTCAACTCTAGACTCATTCTCTCATTTCTTTTATTTGGTTTACATATTGTTTGTTATATTATGTCAAGTCTACAAAAATGGTGCTGAAGAAACACGAGCTAGAAGGCAAATTGGGCGAGGAAAGCCTCCTAATCAAGAGCGGCGTGCTGCGAGACGAGAACCCTCTCGATACAAGTGCAGAGTTCCACGAGTTCCTGCTGGCGTGTCGGCGTGGCGATTTGAGAAAGTGCCAGGAACTCATTGGCATGGGCGTCAACATCAACGGCAAGGACAAGTTTGATTATACGCCATTGATCATTGTGAGTTCATGTTTTCTGCATACATGTATCCCAAGTCTGGACCTGGCCGGGGGTATAAGACAGAAGACTGACAATGATATACGCAACAAGGCCAGTCTGTGTGGTCACTATGAGCTGGTGCAGCTGTTATTAGAGTCCGGTATGTTTCCTCTCTCAACGCCTCCCATATCTTGCCAGCAGAGCCTCGAGGCTGATGAGACAACGCTTTCGCAGGCGCCCTCGCCGAGAGAAACACCTTCCAAGGAGAGCGCTGCATATACAACGCCCTCAACGACAGAATCCGCAACCTGCTCCTCCAGTACGACTTCTCCAAGAGCTCAGACCCCTACGTCTACTGGTCCTCCCACATCTCCAACCTCTTGGGCCGCTCAAGCCCCCAAACGGCAGACATCTCGCTCGACGCCGAGACCCGGTCGTTCAACCTGCACAAGTTCCTGCTGGCCTCGAGAACCCCGTACTTTCGCAGGAAACTCGAGGCAAACCCCGAAACAGCGTCATGGAAGCTCTCGTCGACCATCCCCGTCGAGGCCTTTCAGATTGCCGTCCGGTACATCTACCTCGGTGAAGTCCCCAGAGATCTTGCGCCCCCGGGGAGCTCCGCCACGGAAGAAGACGTCGCCAAGGGCCTCGACAAAATCAGCAAGCTGCTTGAAATCGAACAGCTGTGGGAGGCCATCCTCGTCGGCAACGACCGTCGCTTGGCTCGCCAGCGGTACCAAGACGAAGTCGCCAGAGCCCTGGGCCAAGTGACCGACTTCTTCCAGCAAAGCGTCCTCGCCCACAAAATGGTCGTCGACACAGACCGCGTCGACCAAGTCCGCTGGCGCCACGACAACTCCATCTTCGCAGACATTCTGCTCCGCGCAGACGAGCCTTCGGCCGAGGACACAGACGGCATCCTCCTCGCCGCCGATTCACCATCTGCCAATCATACCAGCGCCGGCATCCCCATTGGGCCCTCTCATGAAGTAACAGCAGCAGCAGCAGCAGAAAGCAACGGCGTCAAGAAGCCGAGAAAATCCGTGCTGTATCCCGCGCACAAGGCTATGCTCATCCGAAGCGAGTACTTTGACAAGATGTTCTCGGGCGACTTTGTCGAGTCCAAGAAGTCGGACCATCTGCACGTCATCACCGTCGACTGCTCGCCGCCCGTGCTAGAGCTCATCCTGTCGTTCCTGTACACGGAAAACGCATCGTGTCCGCTTGAATACGCTCTGGATCTGCTATACGCAGCAGACATGCTCTTCCTCGACAGCCTCAAGAACAAGGCCGCCATCGCAATCAGCACCCTCGGAAGCGGCACGGCAAACGTCCTCGTCGACCGCACCCACAACAACAACAACAACAACACCGACACCCCAAACAACAACAACAACAAAGACCACCCCGTCTCCGAACCCGAGCAAGTAGTCGAAGTCGAGCCCATCAACATCTACGACGTCATCCACGCAGCCTGGGACCTCCGCGTCCAGCGCCTCGAAGAGTTCGCCGCCCGCTACCTCGCCCACCGCCTCGAGGACTACATCGACGAGCCCGACTTCCACGAGCTCATCCGCGAGAGCGCCGACCGCATCCACAAGCGCGAGGAGACGGACACCATTGAGCTGCTCGACGACATTCGGTATTACCTGTCCGAGCGGTTCAGGCTGCGCTTCGAAGATGCCGGGCTGGAGGAGATGATGGATGAGGAAGGGGAGATGAGTGCCGAGGTGGTGGCTGCGCTGGTGAATGGTTCGTCGGGGGATGCTGCTGCTGCTGCTGTTAATGCTGATGCTGTTGGGGAGACGAATGAGAAGAAGCTGGTAGATGGAGGTGACGAGGGACAGGGGCAAGAGGGTGTGAGGACGTTGAATGGAGAGGCGGCGGAGGATGAGTTTGCATCGGATGCAATCAATTACCAGATCTTGTTGCACAAGATTGATGCCATGTTGGAGGGACTAAAGTTGGATGCATGAGGTTGCTATCAAGAGAACAGGGAGATGCGTTCATATCTATCTATGCTATGTCTATAAGAGTTGGCCTCACATGCATTATACAAAAGCACATGGATACAAATACAGAGGCAGCAATTCTAAACACATCTGCATTCTGAAGTCATCGACTCGCTGTCTATACAACTTTTTTGGCATAAACCTTGCTCCTCATCACGGCATGTCATCCGCATCAACGACAAAGTCCATCTTTGCAATCCGCGCCGACAAAACAAGACAGAAAAAGGAAAACAAAGCAGAATCAGAGCACCGTCTCTATCGTACACGGAATACCCGGTCACTCAAATGCCCCCGCCTTATTGATACTTGACAAGCTTGATCCTCGCTCGCAACGCCTCGGGCAGCTCCTCCAACTTGACCAGCCCCAGCTGCACCACATCTCCCCAGAAAAACATGGCCCTGTCCTGGGCATAGCTCAGGTAGTCAAAGTCGTCGGCGCCAAGCTCCTCGTTGGCAGCCATTCCGTCCAGACCCGGCACCTTGGCCTGCACAATGCCCCAGGCGATCCACTGGGCGCTGTTGGCCGGCTGCCACAGCCGGGCCTCCTCGATGAGCTCCCGTACCTGCTGGTCGACCTGCTCCTCGCGCGCCTTTTCCACTGCGTTCCAGTCACCTCCGGGGTAGCGGGCGTCGAGCATAAAGTCAACAATCGAGCTGCTAGACGCCGTTGGGTGGAGCGAAGGCGTGGCCGAGCCACTGGCGGCTTGGCTGTCGATGGGCGTCAGGCGAGGCGTTGAGTTGGAGTGCTGGGAATAGGGGCGGTGTTCCACGTAGGCCTTGATGAACCGCTTTTGCTGCTCGAGGCTTGGGTAGCGGTCGGGGTTGCAGGCCCAAGGGACCAGCGGGTCATGGTAATTGTACATCCACTCGGTGAAATGGTTGGCAAACTCAAGCCCGGCGGTGTTGGGGGCCGCATATTCAAAGTCAATGACAACCAGCTGCTTGTGTTTGTTTGCCGGCTGAAGGAGGGGTGACTTTTCGTCGTCGGGGCGGATCCTGAGGATATTGCCGTATTGAGTCTGTCGTAGCTGTTAGCTCTCTGCAGCTGTGGTGATCCAAGCAAAAGAGAAGGACGAGTGTATACTCACATCGTTGTGTGCGAACACGAGCCGGTCCCTGATGGACCCGTGGCCCTTGTAGCAGTTGTTGAGATAGGCTCTATACTTGTTCACCATCTCTTTGAACTGCTCCCAGGGGACGCCGCACACATAGCCGTTGGCCTTCCACCCATGAACGAGAGAGTCCTTCCGGGCAGCTTCGGGCGTCTTCTCCAACTCCTGATCCAGGAAACTGGTGATGCGGCCGACATTGTCTACCCACTGGTCCCAGTTCTTCCACACGCCGGGCCCGCTCTCTCGTTCGTGCAGCAGCACCTCAACACCATCGTGCAGCTCTCGCATACGCTTCGCAATCTGCCTCGACGTTTCAGGCTCTCGCAGATCCGTCGGGGTCAGCGTCTGGGCATTGAAGAACTGCTCGAAGCGCCCATTCTTGAAGGTCCCCAGCAGCCGCGGACCAATCTTCTTGCGCGCAAGTCGCTGCAGCACCTGAAGCTCGTTCTCCCGATCAATGAGGTGTTCCACCTGCGGTCCGTAAACGCGAAGCAGCACCTTGGTCGGCGGCTTCTTGCCCTCCAGCTGGGGCATGTCGGCTGGCGGCGTAACGACATAGACGGCGTTTGTCAGAGCACCGCTCAGTCGCTCAACAGACAGGGCCTCGCCGCTGCCTAGTGGGATCCTGCGCCAGCCCTTGAGCCTCAGAGTATGGGCTATGCGTAGAATCTCATTCTTGAAAATGGTCCATGCCTCCCTCTCCTTCTCGACCTTGGTGACTTGAGTGGCTACATCGTCCGTGCTGATGCTGGCTCCTCCCGTGTAGCTCATCGTCTTGGAATTGTCCAGCCAGGCATCGCAGCTGGGCACAATGGCGTCGCCGTCGACATAGTCCGTGTCCGAGGAAGCAGCGCGCTGGAGCGACGTTCGCGAAGGCGGCCGCCGGGGCTTGTTGCCAACTCGCGGGCTGAATTTTGGCAGCGAAGTGAGTCCGATGGACGCCATTGATGTTCGCAGGATATGCTCCAGGCCGTCAAAGGAGATGTCGCTGGACTGCGAGCTCGTGGAACCCGATCGCTCGCGCGGAGATTGGCTGGAAGCCGGAGCCGCGGCGCCTTCTGCGGCCTGTGTCTGGTCGGACGGGGGAGACTTGGACTTGCGCCGACGGGGCTTCAGCTTCCTGGCGGCTGCCTTCTTGCGCTCGCGCTCCAGCCATTCTCCCACCTGGGCCAGGATCCTCTCGCTCTGGTGGTTTCGACGGTGGTGATGGTGGTGTCCCGAGAGAGTCGCATCGTCCACAGGGCGCAAGGCCGGCGACGCAGTGGCAGACAGCCTGCCGCTGAGCCGACGAGAGGGAGGAGCCGCTGCGTGGCCCCGGCGCTGCTTCGCATGGTGGGAATCGTCCTCGATGTAGTCCTCGGGGACGGGGTCGGCAATCTGCACCGCTGTTCGAGTCGTAAGCCCAGGTTCGCAAATCTCGCGTACGTTTGCCTCGCCCAGCTCCCTTCTTTCGATATTTCCGTGTTCATTTCCCTTCACCTTTGCTCCTCAGCTATGCAAAGCACAGCAGCGTAAATCAACAGGTCATCCACCCCACCAGACGAGCCCCGCGACAGCAAGCGAGTCCATCGTCATCGAACCACCATGGGCGGCGCACAAACAGCACGCGCAATCATCCTCCAGCGTTCGACGGCGGTTGACGGACATCTTCGTCCTTCCAAGCGATGCGTCTTCCTTCGACCCTTTCAACTGGATATATCCGTTCAAAGTAACGTACCTTTCAGCGTGCCACTAGCAGGCGGAGTGCGCACAGCCTCGTCGTCCATCTTGAGGGCGGAGCGCAACGCCGTGGGAGGGTGAGTTGGTGTCTCGGGCATGGCGGCGAGGACAATGCGCTCTCCTTATGTAGTCTGGCGAAGAGGATTATCCTTGTAGGTTGTTGCAGCCGAGGCACCTGGTCCAGATGATAATCCTCAAAAGATCGAAGAGTTTCGTCGTGACAACAATCAGAGAGGCGCTGCCTGATGATAGGGCGATGTCTCGAGCTAATAGAGATCCTGTTCCTGGATGAGACAGACCACCGGACGTCACCAATAACACAAAGAGCGGCTGAGCTGAGCAACAAGATTGAGTCCAATAAACGCGAAACAGTGTCTCAAGCAGCAGTAAGAATAAGATAAGGCAAGACAAAGAGGATGCAGGAAGGAAGAGGATCTGGGGAAGGACAAAAGAAGCCCTCGTGACCTGTGACGACGGCAGGCTGTGGGGGAAAAAGAAATCAGGACAAGGTTCTAGGCTCTCAAATGTTGAGGACACTAATAGCGGACGCCACGCTGTTTTATTATTGGGGGGGTGTCACTGTATTAGCCCCAGAAGAACATAGTCGATTCTCAAAGGGACCTTGAGAAGCTGTTTTGCTTGTGGTTGCGATAAGGGATTTTCCGACTTGTGAATTAATAGGCCAGTGCCCGTTTTGTGTGGTGGTTCGTTGGTGGTTTCTGTTAGTTGATGGATTGATTAGGGGGGGGTCCCTAGAAAGAGGATAAGTACCTAGACAGAGATAAACGACTCGGTGAAACACAGAGATAGTCGGCTTATGACGTAGGAAAGCGGCTTCGAATGTCATTTTGGTTTCTTTCGGTGAACCGACTCATGGACTCTGATATCATCATACTACTAGTATCTATCTTCTTAACAATGTTCCTCAGGCACCGTCCATCCTTTTTCTTACTGTACAAGGTTCAAGCCAAGGATCGACGGCCCGTCGCGCAGGCAATGAATGACAAGGTGTCCAATTTTGGTCGATTATTCGCTTCTGCCTTAGCTGGCGGACATGGAACCAACCAGCAGACATGTGATATTGGGGGACGCTATCCACAATTCATTTGTTGCTCCCTGTCAATGCATATTACCTTATCCATACACTCCCTTCACAGGTAATACGATAATAAGACGAAAACTATTACTACTACCTACCTAGTGATACTGCAGTATGTAGCAGTAGCTGAGCCTCCCCTCCTTGCATGATGCAACTGCATGTGTTGCGCCAAACATCCCTGGCAAAGGAAAAAAAAAAAAAAAAAAAAAAAAAAAACCATTGTTCTCGGTCGCCGCATGAGGAAATCCCAAGCGTGCCTCACCTGCATCCTCTGCTCGCGTGCGCACTTTGTGGTCCATGTAATACGAAGCATTGGCTCTAAAAGGGGGATCTATGTCGGCTCTATGTATGTGATGTGGCAGAGTCTGGCCATTCAGGGCTCAAGGCGGCAGAAGAAGAATGTGATACAGCAACAACTGTAGTAACTGTAGCCCAACAAAAAGAAAAAAAGAGAAAAGAACCACAGAGAAAAGGACATCCATCACTACTCACACCCAGTCCTCCTCGTTGGCCAGCCACTCCCTCGTCACGTCCACCCCCTCGTTCCTCATCGCCCACACAATCGCATCAACCACATCGTCCACCACCACCGCCGGCCTGTGCCTCGGCTCCCTCTGCGCCGCCGTCTCCCGCCACACGCCCGTCCTCACCAGCACCGACACCCACTGTGTCCCGTCCTCCGGCGCAAACTCGTTGGCGCCCCGGATGTCGCTCTCCGGGTTGTCGCCAATCATGTAGACCCTCCGCAGCGGCCGCTTCTTGTCGCCCTTGCCGTGCGGCTGCTCCGGCGCGTGGTGAAGCAGCCGGTCGTGCGCGTACTCGTACGTGTGCCGCGACGGCTTGCCCAGCGCGTTGAACTGCAGCTCCGCGCCGCCCGTCGACGCCGCCCACACGCCCTTGAGCGCCTCGACAAAGGCCCCCGTGCCGAACCGGTTGACCGGGTACTCCGTCTTCCACAGCAGGTCCAGGTTGGAGACCCAGAGCTGCGGCTGTCCGTCCTGCTGCCAGCCGTTGTTGGGCAGCTGCGCGTTGCCGTTCTTGTCGGAGATGGTGCCCAGATACCCGCGGTGCGAGATGAGCAGGTCGTGAATCACCTGGATGTCCAGCGACCAGTCCCGCGGGTCGTTCCACACCAGGATCTGGTCAATCTTGAGCGCGTCCGCCGGCACGTCCTTGCTGTAGGGGTCGATGTCGTTGGAGACAACCTTGCCGTCGGGCAACGGCCGCGACTCTCTGTGAAGGCTCTCCCGCAGGTTGTCAAACGGATACACCTTGTCGTTGGCCGCGATGATGTCCGCCGGCGTCACGGCCCTGGCAAACCCGTATCTATAAGTCTCCGTGTTAGTAGACATCCCGATAGTGTGTCGCAGAGAGAGAAAGAGAAATCATGGGGATGCACCGACTCGTTGGCCACCCTACGGGCAATCTCTGGGTGAGATCCCGTAATCAGCACCGTTCCATTCTTCTTGAGCTGCTCATCCCAGCCGCGCATCGGCGTGTGCGACAGGATGACCCTGTTGCGGATCACGTCCTCGTCCTCCGACAGCCCAAGGCGCTTGGACAGAGATTTGACCTTGGCATCTTCGTGAGTGCCGCCGCCGTTTGTCAGGAAGACGTATCGGACATCGTGAGACCTGATCTTCCTAAGCATCTCCCTGGCTCCGGGAATGGGCCTGTGGCCCTGGTACAAGACTCCATCGATGCTGTGATGTATATCTTGGTCATTATATGCTCTTAAGTGCAGTATCCATGAAAAAGGCAACCAGGGGTTTGTGAAGGCTTCACCACGTACTCGAACGCAAACGCAATCTCAGACAGCGCTTTCCGCGCGACGTCATCCACAATCCGTTGTTGAAGTGTTTTGGGAGGAGCATTGGCTTTCTCGTGTAAAAGCGATGCTGCATGGAATCGCCGCCTGTCGGTGCTCGCTCGAGCCGCACTCACGCCGAGGCTGCGGAAGGCTGGCCATGGCCGAGTGACGGGACTGAGGCGCGATGCGGACATCGGCCGGCATCGGCTCAAAGCCCGTGTGCGCGACATGTAGCTGATTCGAATTCTCCCAAGTTCAGGCCGTCAATCTGTAAGATGCAAAAAGATGGGGAGTCTGAAAGAGGACTTTGCAGTGAATGCGCTCCAGTGAAGATGATGTAAATGACAGGATACCTGATGCTGGGGCAAGTCCCAAAGTGACCCAGAAATGCAGCTCGCCGATACTGGCCGGGATTGCGCCGTATCCCCACTATGAGCTCTTCGGCAGCAACATCACCAAAGCCGAAGAATCCGCCATGGCCTCGAAACGAAGATACAACACTTGGTTATCACTCATTTGCTCGAAATACGCATTGTGTTGATGACACCATGAAATCAAATTCAAGATATATAAGGTATATACAGGTTGAGTGGTTCGTTGCTACCTTAGTTTGCCTTCCGTCCTTCTATGACTTGGTGTTACACTACTGTTACAGGCAGACTCCATTTTACATGGCTTCCCTCACCTCCGCAGCAGCAGTATCAATGGCTGCTCTTCCAGTCCTTGATATGGTCGATAATCAGCTGCGCCGCCTGTTCCGGCGAGTGCTGTCGCCCCAGCGCCTCCACGAAATCACCCTCTGGGTCCATCAGGTAAAAGTATATGCTGTGGTCGACCAGGTAATCCTGCCCGGGCTTCACATCCCGCGGCGTGCTAAAGTACACCCTATACTTCTTGCACAGGTCCTTGATCTGGTCGTATGTGCCCGTCAAGCCAATCAACTTGGGGTGGAACTCGGCGAGGTAGGTCTTGAGCGCCGCGGGATCGTCTCGCGCAGGATCGCACGTCACAAAGATGGGGAGCAGCTGGTTGTTGGGGAGCTTGGCGTCGACAATGTCCAGCATGCGGGCCATCTTGTCGAGCTCTTCGGGGCAGATGTCGGGGCAGCGCGTGAAGCCAAAGTAGACCTGGTCCAGTTAGACCGACCTGATCCTCAAAACGTAGTTCGTCCACTGCGAGTCTGCTTACCAATGAGTGCTTGCCCTTCATCATCTCGCTGGTAAAGGGCTTCCCGTTCTGGTCCGTCAGCTCAAACGTTCCTCCAACCTTGGGACGGCCGACACCCTTGGTTGCCTCCGCGATCCTCTTCCGCTGCATGCGCTCCTTCTCGTGCTCAAAGTACCAGACCAGTCCACCGCATGTGATCACGAACAAGACGGCCGCTTTCCACGAAAAAGGCTGCGCAAGGCATTAGTACAGCTCGTAAACCAGCAGATCAGCAAACCATCTCTCCATACCCCTGTGCTATACCGGCTCTTGGCCTGCTCGATCGTCTTGTACTTGGTTCGCTTCTGTGTAATCGGCTGTCTGGACTGGACCGGCGATCGAGGGACGACCGGCCGGAGCTGCTTCGGCTGGAATGCGCTGCTGGAGAAGCATCGCCGGCATTGTTGCGCGGGGAGGCTGCGCAGGGCGCCTTGAATGGCCCTTGACGAGGCGGCTGATTGCGACATGTTGTTTGCGCCTCAATGGTTGTTCCTGCGCGACTCTGATGATGGAACAAGTGAGGCCGAGAGCTTTCGGATTGCTAAATATCGACAGATGATGCCCCACCATGGGCTTCCGCGAGGTGAGCAAGTTTGCTGGCAGCAAGCATTACCTAATCACATGCACTTCTGGTGCTTCCCTTGCCACTTGGATGCTGAGTCAGGCTGAGATTCCCGTCTTTCAATACCTGGTACCTTATCAAACATCGTACTGGAACGCGTCTGAACGAAATTTCATGCAAGAGAAACTCATATAATTTGATAATCTATTGCCAGAGAGAGTTTGCCTTTCACCAAGGCGACAATGACTCTTGTGTGGCCGTGCTGAGTTCGTCCTGTGTTGCAGAAGCTTGGATCACTCAGCTCGCCTTTACAGGCTGGGCCAACTTACCTGTAACCGTTGATGCTTCTTCACTCACAACGCCTCTACCTTGCCAATGGATGCGGCGCGGACAGGCGCAGGACCGTTCATCATGGAGACCCGGTTCGAGCTCATCGACGAGGACATCAAGAGTGAGAGCGCGGTGAATTCACCCGCTCCGCTGCACTCTGATGCGCTTCCGGCCTTTAAATCCTCGACTCCCTTGCCCTCCACAGAAACCGCAGATGTCACGGACCCAGCACCTCCAATGGCCGGCTCGTCCGCAACAAAGAAGAAGAAGGGCACAGCTTCCACCGTCAAAAAGAACCCCAAGCGACCAAAGTCGACACGGGAGCCCAAGAAGCCAAAGTCGGCGCGCTCAGCGGTGGGGAGTGAGGCCAACAGCACCGCGGCGGAAGATGCATCCGACGAGGACGACGAGTCCGACAATGGGCCATACTGCATCTGCCGAGGGCCGGATGACCACCGCTGGATGATTTGCTGCGAGAGATGCGAGGACTGGTTCCACGGCGAGTGCGTGCACATCAGCAAGGACATCGGAGAGAGCCTCATCGAAAAGTTCATTTGTCCAAACTGCACGTCCGACAATCTGGTGACCATCTACAAGAAGACGTGCACGCTGGCCTCATGTCGAAAAGCAGCCCGCCTGACTCACAGTCCGCCAAGCGTCTTTTGTTCGGATGAGCACGCCCAGCTGTGGTGGGAGCGGATGCTGGCCAAGCTACCCAAGGCCAGGACAAAGTCTGCTCTCAGCGATGAGCTGTCACAGGAGGAATTCATGGCTCTGCTCAGCAGCGACCTTGCTACTATTGATGGCGATGGGTCATGGACTTTGCGGGCTCCTTTCTCAGGAAAGCCAGCAGAAGTGAATGGAGATGATACAGGTAGGCATCCGTTCAAGTGTGTAATTGCTGCAAGCAGCCGACTAATAACATCTCCCGATCAGCTGAAGAGCGCCTCGCGCATATTTTGACAGACGAAGAGAAAGAATACTTGGAGAAGAAGGCAAACGCGCGGTTCAAGCTTGCAGAAGAGACTCTGCTCTGCCAGAAGATGATAGCACTCGTCGAAATGGTGCATGAACGCCGCCGAGCAGCCATCAGCGCCGGCCGTATCGGAGAGGACATTTGCGGCTACGACCAGAGACTCGACTCCATCGGAGCCAGAGACGCGTTTGCCGCCTTTGTCAAGTCTCCCGAGGGTGAGGCCATTTTCCAAGCGTCAAAGGTCGACGATCCTCAGGGAGAAGGCGATGACGTTCGGGGCATGTGCGAGCGGAAGCGGTGCAAGATCCACAGTGGCTGGCATAAGATGCTGCTCCTTGCTGTTAAGTACCAGATCAAGGAGATGGCGGACCAAGCGGCCGAGGTTGGCGAGGATGAGCGCATCCTCCGGGAGGCTGCAGAGGAGAGGTGGAGGAGGAGACAGGCTGAGAAGAATTGGGTGGAGGTGCTGGATGGGTAGCTGTGTGAGGTGTCGAAGGGTTCGAGCCATGCATCGATTTGTTTCTACAAGGTTTGTTACAGACGGGTTAAGGGAGTCTGGCGTCGAGCACATGATGAGCTCGGTTGAACGAAGCATATGCTTCCTAATTGATCTGATCGTCTCTTATATCGTGTCTAAACTTTGTGTCTAAGTCGAAAGGCGCTGATGGTCTCTACTGCTCCAGTAGAACCATCGCTTGTGAAACACGAGGCAATACTAAGGTACCTTTTGTCAATTCTTGAGAACATCTCATCGCGGATCTCCCTTCAACGGTGATATCCCAGGCTCTTGATGTGCACAGAAGCAGTAGTAGCAGCAGCAGCAGCAGCAGCAAGCTACTCCCTGTTCGTACCTAGTAGGTACGCACAGGATACCTATGGTGGGGTTCTCGATCCAATGGCGGGGGAGGGGTCCAAGGCCGAAAAAAAAAAAAATTCCTTACAAGCATCAAGACGCCGGAAGATTTCTTGCTTATCAAGCAGCAAGTGACATCTTGGCTCAGCGGAAGGACCAGCTGAATCTTTATCCGAATCGCCTTATTTTCTTCTTCCTCTTGTCTTTTCTCTTGCCAAGCTCCTCTTCCTCTACTCCTTCACATCTATACGGCGCTCGTTCCTTGTTGCGCCTCCTCCAACACTTTCATTCTTCTTGATTACGCCTTCGCATCGCTAGAAAACAATGTCTGCTTCAAACCACGCCGACGACGAGTTGGACGACAACCTCCTCGACGCTGAAGAGGTGGGAGAGGTGGTCGCCAACGGCGTTGACCAGCATGGCCATGACGAAGATCACGAGATGGACTCTGACGATGAGGAGGAGCTCGAATTGCAAAACGACTCGATCGCATACTTCGACCTGCCCCAAGACTCCCTCTTCACCGTTGCACAGCACCCCGTCTGGGGCTCGCTTGTCGCTGTTGGCGGCTCTGCCGGCCAGGAAGACGAAGCGCCTGGCGCGGGCTGGATCTTTGATATCTCCTCGGCTCCCTCGCGACCGGTGCTGCCCCCGAGCTACGCCAGCGGCGCCGTTTCCGACCCCCAGACGAGCCGACTCGAGAGCCTCTTCTCCCTCGAGGGCCACACAGATTCCATCACCAGTCTGACCTGGACTCTTCCGCAGGGCGAGGTTCTGATCAGCGCAGGCTTGGATGGCAGGGTCAAGGCCTGGAAGACGGACGTGCAGCCGCCCATCGGTATTAAGGTGACTCCCCTGGGCGAGGCGCAAGAAGTCGACGAGGTCAACTGGGTTGCAGCCTGCCCTTCGCCGACACATCCCAACACCATTGCCCTCGGCGCCAAAGACGGCTCTGTCTGGGTCTACACAATCGATCCTTCCGACCCTTCCAACGCCCTCCAGATCGTCCAGTCCTACTTCTTGCACGGCGGCCCTTGCACGGCCGGAGCATGGACACACGACGGTCAGCTTCTGGCTACCGTCTCTGAAGATGGCAGCCTCTATGTTTGGGACGTATGGGGGGCTGCTGCTGCGCAGGGCCTTACCAACGACAACGGCATGACCATTGTGTCCCTCACAGCCGAGGATCAGCGATTCGAAGTCCTCGGTGGCCTTTACTCCATCGCCATTGACCCCAGGGACACGTTCATTGCTGTCGGCGGTGGTGACGGTTCCATCAAGGTCGTGTCCCTCCCCCGCCTTGGAGATGCGGCGCCAGCAAGGGCAACCGGCCGAGGAGGTCGAAATGCCCGATCTGGGGCTGATCCCACCGCTGGAGGACAGATTCTGGCCTCCCTTCAGAATCATACCGATAGCGTCGAGACGCTGTCCATATCGGTTGCTTCGACCAGCCCGCTCACCGTCCTGCTGGCCGCCGGCTCTGTCGATGGTGGCATCACCGTGTTTGATGCCACGCGCAGCTTCTCCATCCGGAAGCACTTGGTAGCCGTTCACAATGAATTTCCCGTTGTCAAGGTCGAGTTTATCCCTAACACGTGGGTGCTTACGAGCTGCGGCATGGATGGCGTTGTGCGGAGATGGGATGTGCGGGCGAGTGGTACCACAGACACTTCCAGCAGCGGCTTGTTGCGAGAGTGGAAGGGCCACAGGGGAGACGGTGATGGAGGTGGTGTGATGGATTTCGTGCAGGGAGGAACTGGGCAGCGAGTGGTGACGGCTGGTGACGATGGTATCTCATTGGTTTTTGAGTCTACATAGACGGCTTGGTGGAGGGGAGGGGAGTAAATCATGTGGATAATTTGACATTGCTTGTAATTTTGGCTCTAGATATTGGACCATGGCCTTGCCTGTTTTCACGATGCTGTCTGTGAGGGTTGGTGAGATGTACTCTAAGGGGAGCTGTTCAGGACCCGGGTCGACAGCTGAGTTCGGACCCGAGATGTGCATGTATCTCAAGTAATACCTCAATTCTACACAAAGAAAAATGTCTTCTTTGATTGATTGAGAATTCTCATCCGAATGCCCGAAATTATTACACCTTCATAAAGCAGGTGTGATTTGTCGCCTCATTGTTCGAGCTGCTGGAGCTGAGCGCCGGCTTATCGATTGTGTCCGGGGTTACTTTGTTCCCACAGCTCCCCGAGTGGGGGCGGCTGGTCAAGGCCGGGATTACATACGCTGCTGCTGGCTGAGGACGTCAGGCAGGTGCCTCTTGCGTTACCCACAGCAGCCTCGCCAATCAACCAAGCACCAACTCTCTCGTTCCACGTCCTCTGCAAACACCATCGAGTCGACTCTGGCACCTCAATCCGCGAACAAAGACGCCCAGGATCCGAATACGAGACACACACATACCGCACTTCTTCCCATCCTGCCAAGTCGACGCAGCACGCCGCCACAATGTCCGAGGCAACCCTCAAGCCCGAGAAGGACTTCTCCAAGGAGGTCGACCAGCAGCTCCCAGAGGCCGAGGCGCTGGCCAAGGTAACGCGCTCTCTTGGGGATCCGTCACTGGTAGCGTCCGTGAGCTGACCCGTTTGAGCAGACGAACCTCCAGGGCGCAATCGAGAAGCTTGCCGCTCTTGAAAAGCAGACCCGCCAAGTAAGCCGTCCAGCAACAGCTCTAGCTTCGAACGAGCTCTCCCTGACTTACTTGCGCAGGCCTCTGATCTCGCCTCAACATCCCGAATTCTTGTGGCGATTGTCACATTATGCAAAAATGCCGGCGACTGGAGCTTAATGAACGAGCAGACGCTGGTGCTGTCGAAGAAGCACAGCCAGCTCAAGCAGGCCATTACCAAGATGGTCCAGACCGTCGTCGGCTTCCTCGACGAAACGCCCGACCTCAAGACCAAGCTCTCCGTCATCGAGACGCTGCGAACGGTGACCGAAGGCAAGATCTTTGTCGAGGTTGAGCGCGCCCGCGTCACCAAGATCCTCTCCGACATCAAGAAGCAGCAGGGCGACGTCAAGGCGGCCACAGAGATCCTCTGCGAGCTCCAGGTAGAGACATTTGGATCAATGGATCGACGGGAGAAGACGGAGTTTATCCTGGCCCAAGTCGAGCTCTGCATCGAGAGCGGCGACTGGACGCAGGCGGCTATCCTGGGCCGCAAGATTAGCACAAGATACCTGGCGCGGAAGCCCAAGAAGACGGCCGAGCAGCTGGAAAAGGAGCAGAAGGAGCGCGAGAAGAAGAAGGCCCGCGGAGAGGAGGTCCCGGAAGAGAAGGAGGACGACACAACGGACTTGAAGCTGCGCTACTACGAGCAGCAAATCACACTGGCCAAGCATGAGGACAAGTACCTGGACGCGTGCAAGCACTACCGCCAGGTGCTCGATACTGAGGCTGTTGAGCAAGACCCCGCCAAACTGCGCCCTGTAAGACTCCTTCACCCACTGTTTCTTTCGATCATAAGCTAATTACGTTGTTTTTAACCTAGGTCCTGCAACGCATCATTTATTTTGTCATCCTTGCCCCATACGACAACGAACAACACGACCTCCTTCAGCGCATACACCGAGACTCCCGAAACTCCCAGGTCCCTCTCGATGCCGAGCTTCTCCGCCTCTTCACAGTTCACGAGCTGATGCGATGGCCGGAAATCGCCAAGAAGTTCGGCCCGCACCTGTGCGAGACCGACGTCTTTGACGCTCAGCCTGGACAGTCTGCCGATGAAAAGGCCAACCAGAGGTGGGAAGACCTGCGCAAGCGCGTCATCGAGCACAATGTGCGGGTCATTGCCAAGTACTACACGCGCATCCAGATGGGCCGTCTTACCGAGCTGCTGGACCTTGCGGAAGACGAGACGGAGAAGTACATTAGCGAGCTGGTGACGTCCAAGACTGTGTATGCAAAGATTGACCGGCCGGCACGAATCGTCAGCTTCGCCAAGCCTAGGGACGCAGACGATGTTCTGAACGAGTGGAGCCACAATATGAAGAGCTTGCTGGGGCTCTTGGAGAGGATCGATCACCTCATCACCAAGGAGGAGATGATGGCACGCATTCAGCCAACGAGCTCCAAATAGAAGGGCCAGAACCGGGGTAGGTGGGTAGTCGCGGCGTACTGCAAAAGGGAGCAACATCACATGAATACATGCACGTCTTTGGGTGGGGGGGCTTTTCGACAGCTTGTAACGATACAGGTTAGATAGTCCTTAGAAGAAAATCTGAGGCCATATAAACCATGACGATGCTTGTATTCCAGTTGTCTATACTATTCACCCTGACTTGCCTTTTTTCTTAAGGAAATGCCCTTCGGTAACAAAGTCTAACCTTCTAGTATATATGTCTATCTCTACAAGTCTCAGTTCGCACTCCCACTGACATGATTTCTGATGAACCCAGCCAGGGGCATCACCCACTCCTTTGACACGGGAACATGATGGCCCCCCGGATGAACCACCACTACCGGGTCCTCACACCTCTCCACCAGCGCCCGACTCCGACTCTCATCCACAACGACATCCAGACTCCCGATATAGTGCAGCGTCGGCGTGGCAATCTTGGGTTCATACAGCCACTGCAGCTCCTCAACGCCCGTAGCATAAAAGCCCGACCACGACACGGCGAACTTGACGGGCCTGCCACCGTTGGCATCACGCAGCTGACGGGCCCAATCACCGCTAGGACCATCGGGGACAGCGCGCGCAGGCTCCAGAGCAGCGGCGACAAAGGCCGCCATTGCGCCGCCCTGGCTGAAGCCGCATACGCCGTCTATGCCGCCTGCTTCGCGGATGGACTGGGCGATTGTTGCCATGCCCTCGTTGAAGAGGCGGTAGGTGTTGTGTGCTTCGTCTTTGCGGAACCAGGCCCAAGTGTCTGGGAGGTCCTCTTCTTTGGCGTCACCACCATTGGGAGAGTAGGAGTCGCCGCCTTCTTGGGGCGCGGCCGGGGTGAAGCCCGGGTAGTCGGAGGGGAGGAGGCGGTTGGGGGCTGTTGGGTAGAAGAGGACGGGGAGGAGGGAGATTGGGGAGAGGGTTTTTGCGAGGAGCTTTTCGAGGGCGCGGGTTTTGGCGCGGAAGAGGGGGCCTGATTGGGTGTATCCTGTGCGTGAAAAGTTGTTAGTATGTTGCTTGACTATCAGGGGGAGTGAAGCAGTGAAGACGACAGATCTCCCGAGATGAGATGATATGGGATGAGATGAGATGGGATGAGATGGGCAGCAAGATATAGAGCTTTCGGGAAGAGACAGGTAGGATGCTAGCTGGGAACTAGAATTGGCGGATATTATACGCATATCTACATACCGTGAATCATCAAGATCTTGACTTCCTTCTTTGCGCCATTCTTCTGAGCCTGCTGTTCGGGCCGAGGCGTGCCAATCGGCGTTGATGCGGATGACATTGTTCGGAAATGGAAAGTCGACGGGCGAGATGTATGTGGTATATATGCGCAAGAAATAAAAGAACAAGGCAGTCTATATATGCGCGATCGGGACAAGAAAGATTGCATTTACAGTGTTTCCCTGATTTTTTGTAAAAGAGTGTTGCAAGTGAGGGAGTGAGATGGTGTTTTGAGTTGATAAGAAGGCTGTGTGAGTCGGAGTTTGACTGACCTATCTTAGTAATACAGTGTTGGGTGAGGAAGGGAAAATTTGGGAGTTGCGGCTTGTTCCGTGGGGATTCCGAGATAAGCTCGGTGTGACTGACGACCTCTTTGCATGCACGGTAATATCTCAGCAGGGTATTATACTACCTTGATGGCCGAGAATAGGAACGTATTCCAGTGGTGCTTATTGGTTTTGATCTTGGAATCAGAATCTCAACATATGGTTTACTTTGTATAGCCCGAGACAAGGGCCAATTCCCAGATTCAAGTCGAAGTAGACGATATCACAGGGTAAGGTAGCTCGTAGCAAACACACATTCAGTCTCTGACGGTCCCAGTCTGCCGGCATTCCTTCTACTCAGGGAGCTCGTAGCAGAAAGAGAGGCAAGACCCTCAATTGCCGAGTTCCTGAATGCCCTGGATATCAAACGTCATGATCCGTTCCTCGTCGCTTGATCACAAAGGTCTATTCAGCCCTGAATGCGAGTCTATGATACAGTGCAGCGACAATACCGGGCTGCCTTCTGTCGAGTCGTCCGAGTATGCCCCCCCCCCCCCCCTCCTCCTTGCAGCCTCCGTCTCGATCCATTTTTTTGATTCCATCTGTTTTATAATATGACTTAGTGGGCCTTGTTGCCGGCCTTGACGCTGGGGTTGCGAGGGTCGTTCTTCCACTCGTCGGCTGTGTCGTCGTCGTCAGCATAACTGCAGCTCCAACAATGTGTGATTCAGGGTCGCATACAGGCCATCATGGCGTTCTGGGCAGAGTTGGCGCCATAAGCGATAACCAGGCCTGATTTCCCACGTTAGTCGAGTCTTGTTTCCCCCGAATACACCAGCAAATCCGGCACACAAATCGGCGCAGAGTCGGAAACATGTGCCGTCGAAATCCATCAATCGTAGTCGCCAATCACATACCGGCGGCGAAGAAAGGCCAGTAAGGCTTCACTGCAGCAAAGTTGTCAGTTCCCATCTTGTGTATCCCATGCTTTTTTGCTCGTTTCTAGGAGGAGGAGGAGGAGGAAGGAAAATGGCCCGCGGGACTCGAAGGGCGAATGGTCGGCAGACGTACGGAAAGGAGCCGGGAACTTCTTGAAGGGGGCGACGCCGAACCAAGACATGACTGCGGTTGTTTGCGGGAAGGACTCGCGCGGGGAGAGGCTGAGGAATTGAAGGCGAGGAGCGTCGGCGGAAGTTGCTTGGTTGAAGGTCTTTCGAAAACGAGCCTTTTTTCCTTTGGTCCAACCAGACAGAGGCTTTCCGAGCACAGTTGATGCGAACGGCTTAGCGGACCGGGGTGGTTTGCCTGAGGCACCAACTGGAAGTGAGCTGGGCTGCCGGTACGGAGGTACATGCATCTGCTGGGGGAAAGTACGTAGCTGAGGTGTCACATGCAGAGTCACATGACCACATCTTACATAATCAGAGCAGCCCCTGCCTGATGGGGCTAGTGTGACATCATGCCCCCCCCCCAATCCTGCTTGTGCCTTGTTCTCCGCACCGAAAAGCGGCCCAGCTGGTACAGTACAAACGCCCATTGGGAAGAGCTCCATCTTTCCCCAGGTTTCCTCCGTCCTTGTCTCGACTCTTCCTTACCTTACCTTGCCTTATATATTGCTCTTGACATCACGGTACCTGAATGCTCTGCGCCTCACCCTTCATTCATCCAATTGATTGCAACTCTCTTCTTCTTTCACGAGCAAGTTATTACCCTTCTGATACATTACTTGCAGCAGTGCCACCAGCTGCACCCTCTCAACCAGCCGCCGTCCAATCGCCTCGCAGGCATTTGATCGTGCGGGGTGAAGCTCCCCCGGCTGCAACGTGCCTCGCCTCCTCTTGGCTGCTCCGAGCTCCAACAACCTCCTCTTCCTGCCACCGCGCCTAGTTAACACCGTATCCAATCGGCCCTTCAGCCTGCCCTCCATCAACGCTGCCCGCCTTGTGCCTCCCGCCACTCAAACTGCTCTCTGCTCTGCTCCCCCCTGCTCTCTGCTCGCAGCTCGTTTAATCGACGTGCCGCCTCTCAAGCTGCAACCAGCAACAACCTGCGCCTCGGACGCTTTTAGGCTGCAGCTCTAGGCGACTTTTGTCTCGTCGTCTCTGAGCTCGTTCTTTGTCTCAAAGAAAGCCTCGCGCATCGCCCTTGCGTCTTTGCTCGAAGACCGCCACTTAGTACATACACTTGATTCCTCGTCGCGACCTCACCATGCTTTCTCAGAGGTTGTATCGCCACGCCGCTGCGGCAGCTCCGCGAGTCGGCGTGCGCGCTCTGGCCACGACAAGCCTGAAGCAGACGCGAGCGCCGTCCATGGGCGACATCAACCCCACACCGGAATCCATCGAGACCTTCAACGAGAGGCAGAAAGCATTCAGAGAGCAGCTGGTGGAAGCGCAGAAAGAACGGGGAGCTCGTGCGTTTGGTTCCCAGAAATTGCCTGACTCGACTACTCCTGACCAAAGCTCACCTCAAACTGCTGCAGGCGCCACAGCCGCTGTCAAGGACAACGAGCCTGATCGCAAGCAGGGCCCGCTGACCAACCTCATCTATGGCACCAAGGAGGGCAGGGAGATGGAGGCCCAGATGGAGGCCAGCTTCAGCCAGGTGCTTGCCAGAGGCAAATACGTCCATTCCATCGTCTTCCACGAGGTCCAGCCCGACAAGGTGGACGAGTACGTCGCGCTGACGGGGGAGTTCTACCCCAAGATGGCCAACACTCCCGAGAACAAGGTCCATCTGGTCGGCAGTTGGCGGACAGAGGTTGGCGACTGCGACACCTTTGGTAAGAGCGGCTGCGCGCATATATGTTGACCTCTACTAACGCTTGCCCATCACTTATACAGTTCACATTTGGGAGTACCAGCGGTACGAAGGCTACCATGAGTCTCGTTACTCCATCTCGCACCACCCCGAGTTTGCCGATTTCAACAAGAAGCTCAGCAAATTGATCAAGTCTAAGAAGATTTCCTTGATGCAAGAGTTCTCTTTCTGGCCCACCACGCCCCCGCGCCAGCTCGGAGGCGTTTTCGAGCTCCGATCATACACCCTGCACCCCGGCAACCTGCTGGAGTGGGAGACTCACTGGAGAAGGGGCCTCAAGGCTCGGAGGGAGGTCATGGAGGGCGTCGGCGCATGGTTCGTTCAGATTGGCGAGCTTAACACGGTTCACCATCTGTGGCAGTTTGCCAACCTCGAGGAGCGAAGGACGCGCCGAGAGAAGAGCTGGTCGGTTGAGGGATGGAGCGACACGGTGCACAAGACGGTGCCTCTGATTCAGTCCATGCAGTCTAGGATTCTGATTCCCATGCCCTGGTCGCCCGTAGCATAAGGCCCAGTCGCGCGCATGCTTTTGCATCCCATGTTTTATACGTTTACCTTGGTATTTGCGGCGTCATGGAGGGCTTCATGTATGAAGGAGTTGGCATTTTATATGCGACAGATAGGCATGACTTTAGCATCATGTGTATTTGAGACTTGTTTGTTCTTCTATCAGGTTGCTTCCAGTTAAATCAGAGCACCCAGCTGTTCCTTGCTGCTAAGTTTAAGTATGACAAGATGTCCAACTAGAATAGGGTAAGCATCTTTTGTTAAGGGGTATACATTTATCAACACGCTGCAAGCAACCAGAGAGGTAAGCTTAATTGCATATGTACAGTATCGCCAAGGCAAACATCGGCAACAGTCATGACTCCTCCGTGTACGTCTTCAACTGCACACTCATCACGGCATCCAAATTGCACCGCGCCTGCTCCAGCATGATGCTGAGATACCCCAGCTTCGAATACAGCGAGATGAGGCTCGGGTCTGCGCTTTCCACCCGCACCTTTTCCCGCACGTACACCTCCTCCAGCTGGCTATCCGAGAGCTTCCTCGACGCCGCCGGCGGCTCAACAGTGTGGTTCGCGGACACGCGCTTGGTGTCGGAAAGTTCGTCCCCGCCGGGCTTCCACTTGAAGACGATGTCTGCCTCGTCGTGCTCGAGGCGCCGGTACGTGCCGATAGCGAGACCGAGCTTGGTGCCGAAATGGACGGGCGCGTCGACGGGCTCGAGGGCGCGCAGGACGAGCACGATGCTGCACTCCTGGAGGGTGATGTAGAGGCTAAAGTTGGGTATGAGGGGCGGCGAAAAGTGTCCCGGCGGGCACGACTGCGTGGTCCATCTCGTGTCGGGCTCGTTGATGGGCGGGCCCTTGAGGAGAGCGATGGAGGAGGAGATGGAGTCGGCGAGGAGGCGCAGGCCCGAGGAGAGGGATTGCGCGGTGCTGTTGACGGTGGGGGCTTCGATGCCGCCGGGGGTGGGCGGCTTGCTGTTGGCGAGGAGGAGGCCGAGGAGGTCGATTGATTCGTTGAGGTGGGTGTGGACGGTGTCGAGGGCGTGGATGTGGATGGGGACGGAGTGCGAGAGGGTGAGTGCTTGGGGCGGAATTGTTTTGAATTGGAGGCCGAGAGTCTTTTTATATGTTGTCGCAAAGTATGACTGTTGTAAGTAGATGTGATATGGAGGTTAGTTTGGTTGTCGCTGCGGTCGACTCACCCCTTTGACGATGCGCGTCCCGACCCGCGTGATGGTGCCCTTAACTCGCTCGTTGCGCGGCGTGCTCATCACCAGCGTGCTCCCGGGATCGACCGGCGCCAGCAGGGCGTAGCAGTCTTCCAGCCCATGCTTGAGCTCCTCGCATATCTCGAGTGTCCTTTCGACGATCCAGGCCAGCTCGCGCCTCTTGAAGGATATTAGCATGTTGAAGACGTCCTCAGGTCTCACTTGCTGCCGCATCTGCTTGTGCCTTGCGCGCCTTGAGATGAATTGCGCAGTGTACTGACCTGGGTTTCGGCGACCTTTATGGCGAGCTCCTCTGGAGACACGGGAGGCCAGATGTCCAGAGACATGGCTGTTCAGCTCGTCGCGGGTTGGGAACGGTCGGAGCCTGGGAGACAGGCAGCCATTCCCTCCTAGCTAAGCACGAAAAGAGGCCAGTTTTCGAGAGGAGGTTCTTGGGAAGGGGAAAAGAAGAAGCTTCAGCCGGAAGCTCAACCAGCACAGGGAATGAATGAAATGCCGTTCCCGTGTCGCTACAGGTGCAGCGAGGTCCGCTAGTGGTGGGGCTGTGCGATAACGGCAGCGATAAGGAAAAAGCGGGTTGAGAAGAACGAGGTAGTAGGAGGCAGGTGCTAGGCAGTCGTCGATGAAAGTCTCCCTCATCATTATTTCATACCTACTAGTACCTCAAGACGACATTTCTTCACCATCACGAGAACTACACTTCAATCTATCACCATTCTCCCGACCATCTTCTTCACTCAACTTGCTGGGTTCTAGCTCAATCTGAACCGTGCATTTGCGATTGGGAATACCTGCATCCCTCGCTTAAACACCACCGCTGGTTCACTCTCACCATGACACAACCAGAAAACGCCCCGTCTAAGCTGGTGCCTGGGGAGACTAGGAAGATGGCCCCAATCCCAGACGGCAAGTTACACTTCTTACAGCCGATCGGGGACACGTTGAACTTTTCTCTGACAGACGGGCTCTAGGCGCCAGAATTCAGAAGCGTCCCCTCACCCGGCGCCAGCTCCCTGCGTCGTCCAAGACGCCCGTCATCTACGTGTCCTCAAGCTCCCCCCTCATGTCTGTCGTCAGGCGGACCAGGAAGTTCCTGGACAAGGCCCTGCGTAGCAATGCTTCTGCCGCCAAGAATGTGTCGCTGCACGCCCGCGTCGAGTCACTCAAGCGAGGCAACGGCAGTGGGACTGCTCGTGGAGCTGTGGTGACGGTCATGGGCACAGGAAAAGCCATTGAAAAGACACTGAACGTTGCGAGCTGGTTCCAGCAGCAAGGAGACTGTGTTGTTGAAATCAGGACGCGGACTGTTGGAACAGTAGACGATGTCGTCACAGGCGACGCGGACGACGCGTTTGGGGCTGACAGCGAAAGTCGACTCCGGAAGTTGAATTGCTTGGAAGTTGCCATCAGTCTTAAGTGAGCCGTTCTCGGACTCGGCCACCTCTTGGAAACCAAGAACATAATGGGGCTACTTGGTCAAGCTCGCTCAAGGACGATGTCTATTAGCGATGCGGACATGCAGTGAGCTTCGATGCAGCCATCATATGAATCTCGCTGACCAACCCGCCAAACAGCGGATAAGCATCGAACAAGGCCCCGGAGCCGAGATGAAAGACATGTTCTCACCAAACCCCGAGAACGTCTCAGAGAATCTCACATTGGCAACCAGCAGATGCCTTTAGAAGTGTCGAGTGAAGAAGAATTTCCGCTTCAAAGTCCAACCTGCCAAGCAAGATGCCGCCTCATTAAACAAAGATATGAAGAAGAGAGCAAAACAAGATCAAATAAAGGATCCATACTCCGATGCCGATGCAGCCATTTACCGCCAACAAATACCCAAAATTTCCAGAACAAACTCCTACGCTTCCAAACTCCGCAGATCTGCCGTCGCCCAACGAATCGTCGCAAAACCCGCAATACCGTTGAGGAAAATCGAAAGAAAAATCAATCCGTTCTGCGCCGCTTCCCTATGCTTTGTGTCGCTGCTCTGCCTCCAATCCGCGAGTCCTTCCAAGACATTTTCGTTTGATGCTCGCAGGCGTTTCTTTCCGATGAATGGTCTCATGGCGCCACGTTCATGTGAGGCGATAGGCGCTTGGATCCCGGTTAGCCCCTGCTTCGGAAACCGACTAACGGCAATGATCACGGCACGGTTGGGTGATTGCTGTTTCAACTCACTCGATAATCAGCTCTTCGCCTCGCCACACACCACTGGCGACCCAGAGCCCACAGTTGACGAACTCGGCATAGCGCTTGTCCGCAGTCTTGACCGTGGCAAAGGTCCGAAAGCCGTACTGCCGGGGATCGATGTTGTCCTTGGTTTCCCGAGCGCTGAGCAGGGTGTCGAGGATGTCACACGGGCCCGATAAGGACCCTCGCGTGCGCATCTCCAGCATGGCCGGAGGCTGGTCGGTGGTTTGCAGGACAAATGCGCCCTCGACGATGCGAATCGGACGAAAGCCCCGTGCCTGCCCGAGATCATACCCGCCCGCCTAACGATTTGTCAGCTGATGTTGTTCATTTTCCAGCAATACTGCCCTCCACGTCCGTCTGGGTCTGGGCCGGGATGGGTTCGGGAAACCCAGGGTGCATCATACCATGACTCGGCCGTTGCCAAATGAGCCGGACCACCTGCCTCCCTTGATGGTGGTGATCTCCTTTTGCACGCGGTTCTCGATCCGAGAGGGCTCCGGGTTGAGCGCGACGGCGATGCGAAAGTCAAACTCGAGAGTGGGCATGGAGAAGGAGACGCTCGGGCAGGGAAAGTGTTCGAGCGAGCGCTTGCACGCCTCCTCTACGCTCCTGTAGGAGGACAAGAGGGTGGATGTCAGCCAGCAATCGGAGCCCGACCTGCGCTTTGGAGGCCGATCGCACTCGTCAGGTGTCGGCTGTGCAACGCACTTGCCCGTCGCCGTGGCATCGCCTCCATGATCCTGCTGCTGTTGAGGCTGCTGTGTCTGGTGCTGAGGGCTCGTCGCGGAGTTGCTCGGGCCGCCCAGCTGGGCGGGAAAGTGAAGGCTGGTGGCGATGCCCGTGTCCCATTCATCGGTACACCACTCTCTCTTCATTCCGCGGCACTGATGCTCGTCGTGAGGCAGGCACGTTGACGCGGCGACCTCGGTAGGAGCCGTCGTGGTCGGCAGAGAGAGCGTCTCTGTGTCGGTCGCCATTTCAGAGCCCAGTCGAGGATGCGGTGCCGACCTTGTCTCTCCTTCTCTCTGTGCCTGTGTGCGCGTGGGTTGACGTTTGGTGAGCTCGAGCTTGAGCTGAGGTGAGCTGAGGTTGAGGATCGTCGGTTCGGCCTATGTGATTGCGCAAATCTCCCGTGTCACGGTATCCAGGACGTCCTCGGAGACGCGATCGAATTTGATCCGAGGAATCGCGATGGCACCCTTTACAATATGGTCGTCTGGCGTTGTTGTATGGTCAAGCGCATCAAGCCTCGAGGCGACGGGATGTGTGAGATGTCGTCTGTTTTTGGTAGGGGAGGGGATGGTTTATCGACCAAAGGCCGGTCGGCAGCGGAGAGATGGGTATATGAATCTCACAATCAGGCTCCGCTTTTGGATAATCCCGGTGGGGGGTATGAGCGAATGTGTACGAGGGTATGTACTGTAGCCGGTACGTCCCGGGGCAGAACACGCTTTATACGATACGGCCCAAAGAGGAGCTGGGTGCCGCTGTCGCTGCTGAGTGAGCGGTGCGTCGGTGCGTGGTTGGGGAATTGGTAATACTGGATTACTTTGGTGGAGGGGCAGCTGAGGACCTTGGGACGGGCTTGATGGGACGGGGGCAAGGTTGGAAGGGCTTGCAAGCTATTGCCGGATGTCCGTCAGTCCCGGCCGAGAGAGAGAGAGGACGAGGGACGAGGGCGAGACGGCGAGCGAGGGAAAAGGCTGGGCAGCGATGGCTTTTAGAAAGCAGAACAAAGGTGTCTTGGATGGGAAATCGAGTGGCGTGCCGTGTCTAAGTGGTAATGTGTGTGAGTGGTACGTGCGTGCATGCGTGTATGTGTGTGTGTATTTCTAAGGCACGTAATAGAGCAGAGCAGGCAGCTCAGGGCCCGTCGTGCTTTTTTTTGCCAGCGAAGGCGAACAAATCTCTTTGTCGGAGCTGGGAGGGTACATGCGGACTCGCGTGCCTTGGTATGAGGCAGCAGGTAGATAGGTAGGTAGATGGGTGGCGCCGCCGCGAGGCAAGTCAGATAAGGTAAGGCGGACGGATGGCCACCCAACAGCGCCTCGTACAAAGCTACCTAGTAGGTACTTGGCACAAAGTACGCGCGCGTGTTCAAGTTGTTCAGCCTCTGCCACTGTATTAGGCACCTCAGGTACCTAGGTAGGCAGGTAAGGCACTTGGCCACGGGCTTTAGGTAGGGTACTTGCCAGCTACCTGGATATAAAATCCGAATGATGATTTCAAATGCGGGTCGCGGATTGGCGCAGCAGAGAGGTAATACTAAGCGAAACTAAGCGCTACGTGTGCTGTGGCAGGATGGGGGGGATGAAATTAGCCTCTTTGCGCCGTTGATTGTGATTTTGATTTGATTTGAATAGGGAGGGAGACAACAGTTGAGTATTGACTATCGGGTGCGTTGTGTTGCGTTGTGTTGCGTTGCGTTGCGTTGCTGAGTGCAGGATGCAGGTAATAATGATACTACTACCGGAGTGCAGATGTCGAGGCCTAAAGCGTGTACTGTAGTAATAATACCTTAGGTACCTAGGTAGTAGTAGATGGACGGGCTGTTGGTGCTACGCTGGTTGGGCTGGAGTTGCTACTGTGCTATCTGGATGAAACTCTTACATGCAGGCGACCGATTTTTTGATGTCATGTCATTATGAGAATGGGATGCTGGTGGTGCTGGGTTTGAATCGATTCCGGTGGGTTGGGCTTCTGTAAACGGAAAGTACCTGGTCTTGAGGTTCCTTGTGCTATTCCCTCCGAGGCCAGTAATAGAAGAAGCTTGACTGTGGGATCTGAGACTTGGCGGTACCTGATGGGTACTTTAGATGCCTTTTCGTCTGTACTACCTACTACGAGTACTATTACGAGCTCTAGGTGTGTACGAGGCAGATGCAGCAAAAGATGGAGGAGGAGGAGGAAATAAAAAAGATGTCCGGTGTCCGAGGTGGGTTTGGCTTGCTTGCGGTGGGTGCGAGGTGCGGGATGATGGAGGACTGCGAAAGGAAGGGGGGAGGTGGGAGGGAGAAGAGAATCTCCACGGACTTTGTGGACTTGTTTTTTTGCGGCGTTTTATTTAGCGTTCTGTGGCTGAGATTTGTTACTGAGATTATTACACAGGATTTAGTTCTATTCAAGATATGAACACTACACTACTGCTTTTGAGAGTACAGGTGGTGATGGGTGAAGGATAGTGAGGTGAGGCGAGATGTGTGTGGCCTCTCGCGGAGTTACCTAGGGATGATATCCGTGCGGATGTAGGTACCTACGTAATACGTACCTACGTCTGAAAGAGCGATGTGTGCGAGTACGTGTGAGGAGACGATGAACCGGAGAGAAATACCTAGAGAGAAAGAGGAGAAAGAGGACTAAATGGAAAAAGTTGGCCGGTGCGGTGCCTTCGGGGTGCCGAACCGGCGGGTTTTGCGGACCGAGGATGAATGCGGTAATGGGGGGGGGAGAAGACTATGGATCGACCAAGCTGTGCCAAGTAATTCATAGTACATGCCTACCTTTAGTACATACTGACGAGGTATGTACATACATTGGAAGAGAGAGAGAGAGAGTGTGTGTGTGTGTGTGTGTGCACTGACGGGTTGTCATGGTCGGTCGAGATTCTGCTGTGACTGGTTTACCCCGGAATTTGAAGAGAGATGGGGTCATTTGGTTGACCGGCCGGGACTGAATCTCGCTGGGTTTAAGGGGAAACTTGAGATGGAGTTTATAGGTCGGTACGAGAAGAAGCATACCTTACCTTACCTTACCTTACCTTACCATGTACTGCAAGTAATACCTAGGACGTACCTTGGCATTTTTCCATCTTCAAAAGGGCTACTAAGGAACGAAATAGAATTGCTTACAGGGAAAGAAGGGAAGAGAGCATGGGAAAGCATAAAAAAGCACAGATCAAGTCATCTCCTTTGTAGCCTTTTTATGTCCCTACCTGCCAGGTAGGCGCGTGTATGGATGGATGTACCTCGTGCTATTTCGGAGGAAAAACACGACTCCAAAAGAGGATATTACATACCAACCTAGGTACCGATAATTCAGCAAGCAGCTGTTGGAGTACCACTTAAAGTGGCTTGCAGCGGCCGCGGATGGAAATTGTAAAAAAATGGCGGGCAAAGTACCGCAGCGGTACCTTTTCCACTTCTCCCCCTTTCGTCGGAGCATTCTCGACTTGAAGAGGTGGATTTCTCAGAAAGCTGTCTTGTCGGCGCGATTGTCGACCCGGGAAGTACGGACTGCCTTGTGTACCTAGGTACCCTTGATGGGTGGGCTGGGGGAGGAGAGAGAGAAGCGGGTAATCCCCGATGGCCCCAAGGCGGAGGTACTCGGAGGGTACTTTTGGGCTTGGGAACTTGGAGATGGAGATGGAGAGGAGGTTTTCAAGTTGCTGTTTGCTTCTTGGCATGATGGGTGAGGGTGTTTATGTGTATATGTAGATATTTGAGTATACGACGAGTATTCTTGCCGCTTGGACGTGGTTTTGGATCTTGGAGTTGAAGTACGGGGAGGGTACAAAGACATGCTGTGGCGTGGGACAAGGGGAAGGGAAGATGCAAGTTCGGAGTCCGAGATTGGGGGACATGGGATGTCGATGCGAGTACCAAGAGTAATCCTATGGGATACACAAAAGCATCTCCAATCAACACCTCATTGACAAAATGGATATTCTTTTCCATCCACATGAGTTGCATATACGTCAATCGACAGTATTTCGACAGTAGTTTGACAGATTTTGTTTCAAACAGAGCAGTCTCACCAGCAGCACGCAAGATACCTACCTTACAACAATAATACCTCCTTACAGTCAGAGATGGATTTAGGAGCAGTGACATGCCGGTCCCAGCAATTTGGAGGCGTCGGAGAATGACAGCCCTTCTCGGGGTCCATCTCCGCCTCTGGTGGCGCTTCCCAAGTACTACATATGTACTTTTCTCGTACCTGTGCCATCATCACGTCTCGTCTGATTCAAGCAAACGGGCGTAATAACTGTGTGATGCTGCAACCAGGCCCTGGCCCTTGTCCATGCTGTATGCAATAACTTGGTCTTTTTTTCTGATCAGAATCGTGGACCAGATCTCTCTCAGCTGGAACATGTGCATACAGTACATACAGACCCCCATGTTTTGTCGCTCGCACTTTTTCTTCCAATGACACTGCAATCCGATTCCGAGGTGGACAAAGAACAAGGTAGGTACCTTATACAGACAGTGTAACCGGCACCTCCTCGTCCTCTTTTGCTTCTCTCGCATACCTAATCGCTCCTCTCTTCGATACCTTACGTGAAATACTTTCAAAAGAAACCGGCTACATTTGCATGCATTGGCCATCAATCCTTCGCTCCATCGTACCGAAACCCAGGACTTGGCACACACTTTGACTCTCTATTTGCTCTTGTTTCCGTTGGCATCGTCATCTCGCCCTGTCGGCCTTTTGCCACATCCCGAACCGTTGCGGGCGGGCGGGCGGGGGGTCGATTGGGAATCTCGTGAGGGATGCGGGAAGAGTCGCCGACCGACAGCGAACGTGCGGGAGCTCTGTTCATTTGATAGATGTCCCTTTTTGGAGCTCGCTGTTGTTGCATTCAGGTTCATGCAAAGCCGGATGGCCGACGGTGATGTCTGTCCAGTAGCTGCAGCTTGGGGAGAACCGAAGCCGTCTATGATTCCGTAGTATGAGAGAGGGCATTCCGCTGTGCTACTGTACAACCCCCCATCTCATTAGGTACTACCTAGGTCGTGGTAATGCTGTAGGTTTCAATGCCGAAAGAGTGGCTTCTCGTGTCGGAATGAGAAAAGATGGCCCCCCAAAAGCCCCGGAATTACAGCACAAACTGCGGCGGCACTGCGCGACAACAACAAAGTCCGGAGCCCGATAGAGAGAGGCTTTACTAGGTATTGTTTCCGCCGGCTGACGTTGCTCTACCTGTACACACTGGTTTGTCTTGTGTGCTTTCGTATCCCGCCAAGTATTTCTTTTTCATCTTCGCTATTGCTAATAAGCCCCCAGACATGCCCGCCTTCTATGCGCCTTTCTTTCCGCGACGCCGTCCGGCTTGGCCATGCCTCGTCTGATGTGCTGCCGGTTGACGGTACCTCTGGGACAGCTGCTGGACTTGTTCCAGTCGTCGGCGTGCAGAGTCGAGAATGGTGTTTACGTCGCTGCTTGGAAGGACAAACGTCGTAACACGCAGAACATATGTGTATCTTTGAGCTCCTGCCACGGTCTGTTCTCGAGATGACTGTCGACAAGGCTTTTTTTTTTTTTTTTTTTTTTTTTTTTTGATGATGATGCTGCTCATACACACAGACCGTGTGCTGCTTGCTTTAATGCCCACTGAGTCGCTACGTTATATACACATACACACACTTACACCATGCGCACACACTTAGACGACAAGTGCAGAAATACATCGCTGTCTTTCTTATAGCCCGTTTAGAAGACGTCCAGCCATACATTCACGCTCGCTGATACATGAATCAATTAAGAAATGGCTTCAGGCTTCATTCACTAAATAAGTGCAGAAGCGAGCTATTCGCACCTTGGCACCGCCTGTAGGATTCCACCCCTTTGATGCGCGAGCTTGAGGCAAAAGTCAGTGAGGCGGGAATGGCTAGTAAACTTCTTATATAAAACTTGATTAATCAAGATTATTGATTAGAGCTGCGACAAGTTTATTGCTGATTTTGCCGTTTGTGGGAAAATGCGTCTGCGGCCTTAAAGAACGTGGAATCACGGGGCTTGATGAGCAAGGAGAAAGCAGTCGATCGATCGATCAGCTTGGCCTTTTCCCAGATCGTCATCTTTAATTATTTCTGCCTCGTCCTTCCTTTCTTCATTTCCCTCTCTCTCTGTCTGTCTCTCATCCTCGTAATGTGTTTGTCATGGTTTTAGGATTTACCGGGAGGAGCGGAGAAGCTTCTTGTCGGTGACTCTCTTTATATGTCATCCAGCAGATGCCAGAGGCCGATGAGCTTCTTAGTCTCGTGTCTTGGTTTTGCGTGTCAGAGTATAATGGAGCTTTACGCACCTATTGTCATTCATGGCCGAGTTTTGTTCGGACTTTTCTTGTTGCTTCTGCTTGGGAGAGGGACATGTGTTAAAATGTCCGGCTGGGCCGTGTTGTAAGCTCCGAAGCTACGTCTCTTCTGTGCCCGTTTGTATCTTTTACTCCTGTTGTTCCTTTTCCTGAGACGGCAATAAATCATTTCATTACTAGGTAACTGTGTGAAGTTCGACGACTTGCAACAATCGGTATATATGCATAGCTTATCTCTTGCTCCATGGACTTCCTATGCCAAATGTCTGGACGTGATGCCTTTCCCATCCCCATCATCTCCGACTCCTCGGATGCGGCAACTTCCGCTCCCTTTAACATCTAGCTGAGCTCAAGCTCCTTCAAGCCCCCCCAACTCCACTTTGCACTTTCGCTTTCATCTCCATCTCTCTGTCGGTCATTCAACATGCACACTGTACCTTCTCGTATAGGGAATCCTCTATTCTCCAAGAGACTTCTTTCTCCGACTCGTTGCCTCGGACATGTTGCTTGTTTCCGTCCCCCCCCCCCCTTAAGAGAAGACGGCATAGGTAGCCAGCCGTACTACATGTAGTCTTCCTCCTGCCTTCTCCTCCCCTCCACATCTCTCTCAAGGCGAAAGCATCGCCTGTTGCTCACGTAGAATGTCCAAGGCCTCCCTCCCTCCCTCCACATCTTTCTCTCTTGGGGGGCGCACGCCCTCACGCGACCTTCCTGGCCCCCCCTCACAAACAATTCCTTTTCACACGCAAGGCTAACTCTCTATCCCCCCCTCCCTCCCCCCCTCGCCTCACAGGCGACATATTTTTCCATCCACCAATCCTATGCCTCCTCACATGCTCCGTCGTCTCGTCAGATACTCACGAACCAAGAAATCGCCTAAGACGCCCCCCATTCATCCAACTTCTTCCACCCTAAAAGGCCGTTCTATAAAAACTCATCACCCCTCTCATCCCCCACCATCATCGGCACAACACCACACCGAACCTCAAAAGCAGATGCACAGACAGCAATCATGTCCGACTGCTATTCGCAAGGGACGGAAACCTTTAGCATCGGTAAGCCTGGTGGCCGGCGGGCGCACATTTCCCCTCCCCATAGTAATAGAAACAGGGCATTACAGTCGAGCTTGGTAGGGGTGTCCTCGAGACTAGGTAGCTGACACCATTACATCTCTCGGGGCAAACGACAACTTACGCCAACAGAGACATCATCTGCATCATTCAAAAAAAGACGTCGTCACACTCGTAAATGACATCACGATCCTCTTCTCGCAAAGACATGCCTTAAATATAAGCTTGATTGCATTCGTGCGTGCATACTATCTATGGCCATTTCATCTATTCACACAAACAAAGTATAAGCACCTCCGTGCCTCCATATATAAAATGAACCAAGAAAGAAAATTCCCTAGTGTCAAGGCCCTATGAGAACCTCCGTCGTCAACGCTCATCGAGGACAAGATTGTTCATCCATCGACGACGTCTTCGACAGCAGCCCCGCAGGCCCAAGAATCGAAATGCCCCTCCGTGCAAGTCCGGCACACCCGTTGGGCATCATCCCAGCCCGATAGCGCCCCTTTGCCAGCCTGGATCCGTCTGTATAACTCATCATAATCGACGCCATGCACATTCGAGTTTGATCGTGAAGCCAAGGAGATGCCACCGAGAGTCGGCCAAGAGAGCCGCTCCTGGCGCTTGTGGGAAAGGTGAAGTAATAAAATCAAGTCCAGATTGTCAAAAACGACATCGCGTAAGATACAATGAGAAGCGAAAAAGAGATTTCGTCAAACGTTTCGATAGTCCGAAACCCTAGCCATACGTCCTTCCCCGGAGCCCGACCGCCACCGTTTGCTACGACCGAGTCCCAACAAAGTCTGCATGGATAGGAGAATGAGGCAAGTGCCAGATGGAAGTCTCCGTCTCCGCTTAGATTCGGACGGTGGGCTGGCCCAGAGGCTTGAGAACGTTCTCAGCGTAACGGCCACCAAAGTTTCCTGAAATTAGACGGTCAGTTTTGTCAGAGGGCTACTTCGGGTCAAGGAGTACTCTGGACTTACCTGGGGGGCTGTAGTTGCAGACAGTGTACCAAGACTGCATGGAGAGGACGGTGCCAGCAGGGCACTTGGCGGTGTAGCATCCGACCTTGGTGGACGACTTCCAGATGAGCTGGGTGTAGTGGCCCCAGGAGTCCAGGTTGGTGCCCGAGGGAGGGTTGGCGAGGCCGTAGAAGGTCCAGTTCTCCATTTCGTCGTTGTACCACTGGTCGGTCACGCCACGGCGAGCAGCCTCAAGCTGCTTGTCGTCAATGTCGCCAGTGGAGCCCCAGCTGGCAAGGTTCTGGCCGTAGCCACCGCCACCCTCGCTCCTATAATCATGTCAATATCCCAATCTCATCTCGATTCGGTTTGTGTGCTCTCTACTTACATATCATGGGCAAACACGCAGCCCTGAGCGGTGATCTGGGCATATCCAGCAAGAGTGTCGTCCCACTCAAGGGCGGGGGAGGAGTGGTTGGCACGGTGGACGTTGTGCTGGTCAACCATGATGGAACCGTAGTCGCTTCCACCAGAGGAGGGAGCAGGAGCCGGCGCCGGCGCAGCAGACGAGGGAGCAGGCTTAGGAGACGGAGCTGGCTTGGAAGACGGGGCAGGCGAAGGCTTGGCCACGACCGGCTGAAGAGAAGGAGCCGGCTTGGAGGATGAAGCCGGAGCCGGAGGAGGAGACGGCTTCGCAGGGACGACGACGGTGGTGAACACGGGCTTGGGGGCTTCCGCTGGCGGCGCAGCAACCGGCTGGGGAGCGGGCTGAGGAGCGGGCTCGGGAGTCGCCGAAGGCTCGGGGGAAGCGGAGAGGGGAGGAGCGGGAGCGTAGACGGGCTTGGGAGCCTCGGCTACGGGCTCAGGAGAGGCGACGGCTGGCTTCTCCGAGACGTTCTGAATGAAGACTCCACCGGCGGTTGGCGTAGCAGAGGGGCTCGCATTGGGGTCGACAGTCACGGTGACGGTGACAATGTCGGTGACCCAGTCCGTCTCCATAACTCGCTTCTCAAGGGGCACGGCCGAGACCAACAGGGCACCCGCGGCCAAAAGAACGGCGGACTTCATGTTGAACAGCTGGATGATCTTTGCTTGGAGTTGTTGATGTCAAGTTGAACTTGCTAAGGAAAAGAGTTAGCTGTTGGGTTTATTCGAGGCGGCCATATCACAATAGAGACAATGCATATTGGGCTTGGTGCAGACGACGAAACCATCAAACAGCTGGCTATTATAGGGCTCTGAAAGCGACAGTGAATCACAGTAGACCTGCTCAATCAAGAGTTTGTGCGTCATCCCACAAAATGTCAGAGGCTGGTGATGCCCGCTGGAACGCGGGTTGGGCTGATGAGGAATGTAGCACCAGGGCACAGCCGTCGAAAACGGAACAATGTGCCACGGTCTGACACCGAGACTCTGGGGGGGAAAAGGATCTTGAGGAATGGACAAGGCGGTGCTGGGACAACTTGCGCACGGGCACTTGCTCAGCTGTTTTAAAGCCAGAGAGGAGGAAGGGGGAAGGATGGGGCGAAGAGGGTCATGAAGCCCTCACATGTAGGATGATGAGAGGTTAAGACTAGGTAGCTGATGGCTTGACAAAAGAATAACAGAAGCCAATCATGATTCGTAATAGATCTTGATATAGACAAAACAGGGTGTGAAGGAGTTGTCGATCACTGCCTTACCTTGGAGAGTTGATGATGCAGCGATACAAGGCTGGAATCCAAACGGGCGGTCGAGGAGGATTTATATCGGGCGTGCGTCAGAACCAGTCTGGGGCAGCGCTGCTTTCGAGGATCCGGCAAAGAGAACCGAGGGGCAGAGGGCGGACGCAGCTGCGGTCGGCGAGACAGGCAACTCAAGAGGCTCGACGATGTTCGTGGAGCGCGGTCGACAGAGAGAAAGGAGCGTGTTCAGTCGGCGGCTGGGTGCACTCGACCTTGTATGTAACGTGACGGAGGAACCGGATACCAGGCCGATAAATAACGAAGTGAATCAGATCGGGTCTCAGAAGAGGAGAGTGGAAAGGAGTGGAATGTGCCGTCGAGGACACGGAATAAGGAGCGTTTGTGGGAAGAAGAGGGGGGGGGAGGGAAGGGAAGAAGATGGTCGCAAAGGCCAAGATTTCTCGTCTCTGGGAGTGGAGGACAAGGAGACGCAGGATGGCGGCGGGCGACGTTAAAAAGGAACGAAAGGCGGATCGACGGACCAGGAGGCGCGCAGAAACGAACGAGGCGGCGGTACCAGGTAGAGTGCAGCAGCGTGTTGATGGCAGGGAAGCGAGAGGCACGAGGTGGAGGAGGCTACTGGGGAGGGGAGATGAAGCTGGGATTGCTGGACTTTGCAGTGTTTCGAGATGCGCACGCCCCCCGCCCGGGGCCAGGGGGGGTTCAATGCTCCAGGGCTGCCTTTAGGCGGCTCTGGGTGCTGGAGCACGAGGGATGGGGGGGTGAGGGCCCTGTAAGTGTACCTGCATAGAGGGGACGATTCAGCGATGGATTGCTGGAAGTGCTGCTGGAAGCCAGCTGAGCAGAGTTGAAGCCTCGTCTGCGCGTGCATCCAATCTGATAAGTGGGTGACGACTCGAACTCTTTCTCTCCACCATCGATCGTCCTGTTATTATAACTATTGCTACCATCCACTGCTTCAGACAGATTCATCAAAAATGCTCAATCAGAAGTTCACAAGATGCATTACGAGTCCCCATGGTCACACGCACTGACCAGCTGTTGGCTTAGACGACAATTGCAACGGACAGACAGACAGACAGACAGACAAACAAACAAACAAACAGAATGGAAGCCACCCCTCCCCATGCCGGCGTGTTCCTGGAAATCGCGTTTCTGTTTCTGTTCCTGTTCCTGTTCCTGACGCTACGAAACAGCCAAGTTGCTTAGCACTGCACCTTATTACTGTGGCCGGCTGGTCTAGCCTTGTTGGGCTCGCGGGGGAGGGATGCACAGGGCGTGGCTGTAGTGACAGCAACTTGAACTCGAGAGGGACAAAACACAAACACACCCGCCCGACAAAAGATGCGCAATTCCTTCGAGAGTCAGTCTGCTTCCGGCGTCTGCGCAGACTCAGCAGCTGCAGATGGGTCTCAGATTTGCTAACGATTCCCTGGTGCGTGCAACCTCGAATACGGACTGCAGAACCTTGGAGGGAGACGTGGTACGGTGCCCCTGTACGCCGAATAGGTCGTGGTACCAGCAGCAGACGACTCATTCGGACGGGTAACCCTCCTTGAGTCGATGAATGATATTACTATTCACAGTTACCAGCTGCGCCCACCATACGACAGTCATAATTCTTTGCTTTTTTCGGCCTCTTCAAGACTAGACGCATCCTTCTAGACGGTCCGCCTCCAGGCCCGCGCTCATCTTGCGCCGGACAAGGCTCGAGATTAAGACTGCCCCCCCCCAAATGCCAGCAATTACCGCCTTGGCCAGGTCCAACTGCCGGGGTGAGAGATTCGCCAAGCAAGCTTCTTCCTGACATCATCCCCTACCCATCCTTTATTTTTTTTCTTCTTTTCTTTCTTGTGTTTCTTTTCTTTCAGGACAGTCAGCCTCGAAAGCGTGGGCCTCTCGAGGATCACGCACATCATTGACGATACCTGTACTCTATGTCTGAGATCGGATGGCGCAGCCGCACTAGCGAGAGGGCAAGAAGAGGAGAAGGGAAGAGACAGAATGTCTCTGGGAAAGGTCTCGTGGAGCCCCGCAAGTCGACGCCATCACGTTTGCATCCTGCGTGAGGCTTGTACTTTGTATCTGAGGCAAAGGGCTGCTTCGTATCGCGAAACCATTGAGATGAGATACGCGTGGCTGGCACAGGTCGCTTTTCTGTCGTTGGCCGACGAATGCCTTCGGCAACTCTAGACGCGCCACTTTAGCTTCTAGACCTGCACTTGGATGATCAATGCAGCTTCTCCAGAGTTAAACTCTCCGTTTGCCATGCTCGCAGTCCGTGCTCTGCTTCGATCATGAGGCGCGCACGCAGATGATGGCATCGATCTGTTGGTGTCGTTCAAGTCCTACCCCTTGATTTTGGCCTGACCCGCCGTCTACCGAATGTTCCATTTCCCTTCCGTAATGTGCTCAGAGTCTGGAGTCTTTCTCAGCCCTGAATCGGCGCGATTATTCGCCGAGTCCGCCTTTCTCGTGTATCCTGCAAGCATGCTGGGGATCAAACGTCCCTAAGTATTCTGCTTGTAGCCTGGTCGTGGATGTGTGTGACCGCTGTCCAAATCAGGTACCAAGTATCGAGCAATATGGGGAACGTACCCATTGGAATCACCGCGGAGAGAGAGTCGCGATGCTGCATTCATAAGCAGTGAGCCCTTACCTAAGCATCATTGAGAAAATACCTATGTCACTACCTATACATGCAATGTCCATTATTTCAGCTTGCATCCAAACTGTCTCGAATTCCTCTGGCCATATCCCCAGGTACCGCTACCCGCACGCCCCCTTACCCTTGCGCCTGTCTGCTCGTACTACTCCGTACTCGTCCATCAGTGCTTTTTTCCTCCTCTCACAGCGCTGTGCCTTGCAGCAGCAGCTCCAGCGGCTACTTTTGCCCTCAGCCAACCAGCGCCGGCGTCTCCATCAAACAAGCTCCAGGCGGTCTTGCGGGACTTTTTATCCCTGAAACGGCACTAATCGCTCTGTGTCACCCCCTACCTCATCTCCAGCGCTCTTTGTCAGCCTATCGACGGCCTGCCATTGGGCTTTTATTGCTGGTCAACGGGGGGAAACCCTTTTTCTTTGACATGGACGACGGGAGGCATCAAGTACGAAGTATCCATGGAATGGGGCAGGAGGAGTGATGAATGTCACTCATTTCACCCTTGGGTCTCCTATTGATATAATCCGGTGCTGTTGCTGCTTGTGACTTTGGCGCTTGTCAAGCCTATGAGGGAGGTACCTAATACTGACCTGCTCTAGGTAAGTCTAAGAGGTACATGTAGGTATGGATCTTCTGGAGCATCGTTTCGACCAGCAAGAGAAGATTTGCGCCCCGGATACCGGGCGATGCAACGTGAAACAGCACCGCAAAGGACGCCGTTCCCAGCGGTGGGATGCGCAGGCCTCACAGGATCGAATCTGATGGGATGCATCGCTCCCGGCCCGCGTGCGCCGACATGCACAAACAAAGTTGCATTCTTGCGTCCTTGTACGATGCATGAACAGTTACCAGCGACTTCCAATTGACAATGCCAGACCAGACCGTATTAGACGCAGATCCCAATTGTCCAGATGCGGGGTCCGCCAAAACGGCAACCGCGCTTGGCAGGCTTCACCTTCTGCCAACAATATTTCCATTCTTTCCTCTCTCTTTTCTTTCCTTTTTACTTTTCTTTGCTTCTCTTCTCTTTTCTCCTTTTCACCTCCCGTCTTCATACATTCACTATGACGCCTTTGACAGTTCGCCTCGTTGCACGGACTATTGGTACCCGTTCCCAGGACGTGGCTTGCTTCAGCCTCTTTGTACCCCCGTCTCATCAAGCGCACCGTTTGGACACACGAGGCCGAGCGAGGCCCCAGCTCCTGGATAAACCAACAAACTGCCGCCGCCCTTTTTCCCACTTCGTTTTCCCTCCGTCTGCGCAAGTTGATTACCTAGGATGTCATCGATGGCTCCCCCTTGCCGCCGAAGCCGTCGTCTGGCGGGGCTCAACAGCACATGGCTGTCGGAATCCAGGGCAAGACATTTATTGTCTCCCCTTGCGCAGTCTCGATTCTGGATTCATCTACACCACTAGTGCTCCTTGTTCGTGACTATCTTGGCTCCATTCCGGCCGAGTAGCCGCCGTCACTCCCTGGTGGCTCCCTGATTCCCTCCGGCTGCACGCCGTCTCCTGCCCACGAGCACCATCACGTCTGTTGACTTCAGAGTTGTCCTCACTAATGAGGTAGCCCGTCGGTACGTCGGCCCATCTTGCCTGATGGTCCCACAGCCTTGATCGAGTGTATCCGCTTGATGCTTGCCGTGCTGTCTATCCGCATCCCCTGGTGAATCAGATAGACAACCGCTGCCACGATGCAGTGGTCCCTGGATCCCCTTGTCCGCGTCGCTCGGAAGCACAGCTCCTACGTCCGGCCCGGAGTGCCTTGAGTCGAGACCCGACGGACTCAGCTCCGCATCCACGGTCGAGATGTTCTTAGGGGCTCGTCAGAGTCTTACAGGCGCCTCCTTCGCCCGTCTACAGGACTACATGAATCTCAGCAGCAGTGTCCGTTACATCTGCCGCTAACCATCAGCATGCAAGACAGACGCCGCGCAGCTGGTCATCTCTTGGCGCCCTGAACGGATCTGCTCGCGTGCTCGACTCGAGCAGAATGTGTGTTGACCTGCAGACAAAGGCCGTTTGGTCTGCCGCTCCAGATTGAGTGTAAGATTAACTCCACCAACCCCACGACTTGTCATTTACTTTGATTGACAAGGTCAATTAGGCATTACCAAACCGAGGTTTATTTTTCTACGCTTTGCCTCGGACGCAATTAATCATACCACTGACAGTTGCTTAGCACTTCTAGCTGGAGACGCTGGCAGCTGTGTCTTGCGTAAATGAGAATCACGTAATGAAGGGATTCCAGGCAATTTCCATTCATATCCATCACGGTCAGGTCAGCCTCCTGGCAAGGTGCCCGGCCCTTCCAGAACATTGCCAGGACGGGCACGAATCCACCAATTCTGCATCCACGCCCAAGCCGATGTCGCCGTCTCCCAAAATGATTTATTAAGTTTGCTGGCTGGTGGTCCCCCGTGAAAGACAACCTGAGCCTCAGATATCCTCACGTTGTCGGCCAAAGCGATAGACGGCAACAATCCGAGCGGTCAACGCCCCCCCAGGCCACGGGCTTTCCGGGCCTGCGGGACTGGCTACGGGCCTATCTGAAACGAGCCGCCGCCGACACCTGTCTCCGCTTGGCCCTGCTTCACTCTCTTCTCGCTGTTTGCCTGTCGGCTCTTTTGACGTGGCTAGCCTGGCAAATATGGAATGCACATAAGCGCCGCTAGGAACCGATGCGTAAGTGATTGTGTCGCCCCCTATTCAGCTTC